CTGGAGCCATATGCATATATGAATAGCTGATCTGTTGTCTTCAAATTGCTGGTATTCTTGGCTGCAGGAAAGAACTGGTGTGCTGGGAGATGAGAATTCTGGCAGCAAATAAAAATCCCACCGATATATCTTTTAAATCTCATTGTGGCTTAACTTAGGGTCCTGGAATACTGTGTCTCTCATATGCAACAACGCTTTTCTCTGGTTTAACAGTACAAGCAAATGACTTCCCTGCACCACCAGCATTTCCCACTGCCAAAAAGTAGAGAGAATTGTGTTAGCAATGAAGAAATAGTATTAAAACATGTCTGGAGGACAGTTCAGCAGCTGCTACACGGGGGAATCATGGCAGGAGAGGAAGGTTGGCTGCTGTTCCAGAGGGTGAGCACTGACATGGATCTGCCGTGGAGCTGCCTCACGCAGCTACCAGAGAGCTGGAGAGGCTTTCAACAAATTTATTTGGGAAATATGATATTTATCCACCAAAACAACAAACAAAAAAATGTCCCAGAGCAAGATCTACATCTGAAAAGACAACAGTTGTTTCCTGAGGCCACTGAGCCTCAGGCTGGTTTAAGAGCAGGACAGGTTTCTGCTTTCTCAGTCTCCTTAGAAGGAAATACAGAGCTGGAAAAACATGGTTTTTCCCCACCTCTGTTTTGCAGGCTGTCAGTCCTGTCTTCCCCTATAAACCTGCCTCCATTTCATCTGCCTTTCTGTAGTGTTGCCATAGACAGCAACACCAAAAAAACACCCCAGTGCTGTCAGACACCGGTCTAATGTTTGCTGTGGAGTAGGTAAGGAAAATCTCTCTAAAGGCATGATGTAGTTTTTAAAAGCATTTTGAAAAGTTAACATTTCACTTTTGAAAGTGATAGCAGTGACTGGAATCACAGAAATTCCCTCAAGGCTGCTCTATGTATATGCTGTTAAAAAAAAATAGTACTTTACATCTGCTGTATTCCCACTGAAAAACCTTAGTGAGATGCTTTGCGTGGAGGGAACCTGCCCAAAGGAGCCTGAGGTGCCTGAGGTCCACAACTGCCATCAGAAAAGTCAACAGTTTTTAACTGCTGCTGTTTATGACTGGTTTTAAAACAGGGAGAGAGAATTTTCCCAGGAACGAGCTTTTGTTCCGTGCCTCGTCTTGAGGTGGAACGCCGAGACCCAAGGGAAGGTGTGGAAATTGTTCAGCCACGACCTTTTCTAAAGCTCTCTCAGGCCTGGTTGACCCCTTTAAATGGAAACATTTGCAGGCTCAAAAGGACTGGAGAAGCTTTTTCAGGGGATGTGCTACCGAGGTGTGCTTTGATATTTTTGACATTTTACTTGCTGTAGGAAATTTTTTTTTTGTCTTCAGAGGACGAATGGAGCTGCTGCCCTGTCATAATTTGTCAGTCAGCAGTCCCTGTTTGGCAGAGCAGCTTTAGCCAAGCAGTCCTTTCCTCTTACTTTCCACAGCCAAATCCCAGGTAGGGGCAGATAGAGCTTTTTTTAATTCCTTCATCCTCACAGACATCACTTGACAAAGTAAGTGCTGAAAGTGAAAGGTTTCCTCTCACACTGGAATAGGATTATCAGTTAAGTGCACAGGATTGCTGGGTTCTCCTAGTGATGTGCTCACATGTGGCTGGCAGGGAGTGCAACAGGATCAGGGAATCCACCTCTGGCATTGCTCAAAAAAATTCCACTTTTCCTATGCATGTGCTACCTTGAAAGCCAGGGCTTGTTTTTGTGCTTAGCAATATCAGCTTCATTCCTGGAACATCATTTATATCTTGAGTTAACATCGATTTTTTTTTTCCCCCTTCCCTTGCAGAATGCCGTGGTTAATTTGTTTTTAAAATGTTGCACAGTAATTACTTTATTTAAATGAATCATCTGACAAATGGGTTGTTCATCAAACTTGTCACTTACTCTGCGGTTTTTCTTTTAACCTGGACCTTACAATAAATTCTGAGCCTGGCTGTCAGTCATCAGCAGAACAAGGAGAACAGAAGCTCCTTGCTGAATTGCTAGATTTGATTGAGGATATATGGGTGAAAATACTGCAGCATGGAACAGACTGATTTTTTTCTGCTGGCTTGTTTGTGATGCAAATTCATAGACTAATTCAACTCCTTTTTTACACACAGAAGAATCGAGCTCAAGTAGGTACAGCCCAAGCTTTTCTAATGTAACTATCCCAAACTTCACTCACAGTAACCACAAAATTATTTACTCCATGAACTCTCTCCTGGACCCAAACCATTCTGGCTTTCCATGTTCTACCCAGAGTATCTCAAAGCCTGTAATCAGAGTTCTCTGTAAGTGCTTTCCTGCTGCATTAATGTGTACAAAAGGAACCTGGGGTCCCAATTCCATGACTGCACAGCTGACTTCCAGAGAAAACGACTGGAATACATTTGAAGTGTGTATAATGCAGAATTTGGATTAGTTTACTTAGAAAACACATCCACGCAGAACTTTCCCTCTTTTCATCATTCCTCCTTTCCCTCCCCTCCTTCCCTCTGCCCAGGGAGCTTTTACTCTTTTTCAAAGGGGACCAAGCAAAAATTCTGTGAAATCCTGCTAATGGGGTATAAATAGTTCATGGTTATACACCAATTAAAATTAATCTTCATTTAATAGGCGATTGATTAGAGGACTGGAAATAGATCTGGCCCCAGAATGAGAAAGTGCTTGTGTACATATAGCTATGAAGGTTGCCTCAAGGGTGGTTGGATGAAGTAGTTTTAATAAATTTTTTTTTTTTTTTTTAAGTAGAAGGTGATACAATACACAGTAATAATTTCCAGGATGGAGGACATTTTTTGCCAAGATCAAACGGCAAAAACCTCATCCTGCTGGAAGTGAGAGGAGATTGTGGCCCCTCTGCCTTATTTCATAGTTATCTCAGGCTGTTCTTTTTTTCCAGTGGCATCCACCTTGCCTTATGGAGCAGCGCTCTGCTCATTCCAGTAGGGGTTCAAGGAAAACCCAGCACCTGGACCTTTCTGGCCCAGGACCAAGCTGGCAGTATAGCTGACTGAAAATAATTGTCTTCTTCAGGTGAAATGAGGGGGGGGGGGGGAAACCCTGTTTTTAACCCATAAACTTGTTGGTATCGTCACTGGTATCACCACAGGCTTTAGATTTTTTTCCCTTCTGGAGTTTGAAGCTCTGTAAAATCCTGCTGAATTTCAGCGTTCTACAAGATGTTTTACGTTCAGTTCCAAAATCTGCCCTTAAACTTTTCCCAGCTCTTTCCTCGTGTCCCAGTCTCTTGTAACCACTTGTATGTTTTATGGGGGAAAGGGGGAAAAAAAAAAAAAAAAAAACAGAAAATCTTTCAGGTTTTAATACACCCATATAGCAAATGAGAAATCCATGTAGTGAAGAGCAAGAAAATTGCTTAAGTTGGCAAATTGCTGAAGTCACATTAAGGCATTGCTACATGTGGATTCAAGGGATAATACAACGCTCTGTATTCAAGAGTAGCTGGAGATTGCCTTGCCAGCTTGGGTCTGATAGCCTCCAGTGCCTTCATTGCTGGGTTAACATTCCAAACAGGCTTTAATTCCACTGTTTCTGCTTGTCAGCTAATGGCTGCCCTATTCCTGTATCAGTGACATCAGAACTGCAAGGGATTGCAGCTCGCAGGCTGAATGCATTCAGATGCTCAGAAAATATAAAGATATCTGGGCCTCAAATTTCACGTGGGGAAATGTGGAAATATGTAAGTGAGAAATCCGAAGTATCCTCTGGTGACTGGCACTAAATGAGTAAATTATACTTGCAAAATCAAGCAGTGAAGCTGGAGATTGCTGTTTAGAGGAGCATTTTTTTTTTTTTAAAAATTAGCTCTGTTTGTTATGCATTCATGAAATCCCAGTGCCCCTGGACAGTCAGGATATGTTGTTGGCATAATAAAGCCTCTGGAGGGTCTTAGTCACCCCAGTCTAAGTGGGACAACCTGTTGACTTGAAACACAGCCACCTTCCCCCCCGTCTCGGAATTTGAGACAGAGAAGTTCATTCTGAAATTCAGGTTGGTTATTTACAGCCCTCTTTTATCAAAGCTTGCTTCCAGGTTAAAAAACAACTCTGACTCACCTCATTTTTAATAAAAAAAAAGGAGACAGAAGTGGACAAAATTTCAGTTTGAATGGTAGGAAAAAAAAAAAGTTCTGACCGACTGAACAGCACTCGAAGAGCAGCTGCCCAGCTGGAATTGCACCTCTTGGTTCAAAACAGATGGTAGAAGAAGATTCCAGAGGAAGGATGGGAAGCTGGGAGCGATTGTGCTGGGCCCAGCACTGTCCTTGCAAGGACACTCCTGAAGCAGAAGGCTCTGGTAGACACCTCACCACTGGAGATGTGACTCACCACCTTGGCACGGAGGTGAATCCTCTGGGGGAGCAGTTCTGGATCACCAACTTCAGTTCATTTTGGAAAAAGCAAAAAATATTCACCCGCCCCTGAGCAGGCTGGAAAACTACCAGTGACACTGCCTAAGGTTTATAAAAACCCCAGAGCCCTGCCACAACACAGACTTCGAGGGGAAACTTTCAGTCTGCTTCCTCCCAAGCTCCTCAATCACTTCCGTGTGCAGATCTTGCACTGCCAGGATTTGCAACCCTTCAGAAAACATCTCCAAGCTTCATCTCCAGATATGGAGTAGGTTGGAGCAGGGGGGACAGGCCCTGTGAAAGTCAGTGCTTTCATTAGATGGAAGCTTTCACAAGCGTTTAAAAGTTTTCCTGTGAGAAGCCAGAAAAACAAACACTCCTCGTCTTTCCCAGGTGTTTGTCTGAGCAACATTCATAATATTGGGTTAACTTGCAGTGCCACTGGAGATGAAAACTAATAATCCAATGTGCTTTTGCTATAGTGCTTTGAGCAGTGATTTGGTTTTCCTTTATAAACACTCAGAAATTATTGCTCATCATTTATTTCTCTCTTTTCATGCGCAGCGATGGAGAGGTGAATAATCCTTCTCATTTATCTCTGTTTCAACAGGAGGGATATTCGAAACTGTGGAAAATGAACCTGTTAATATTGAAGAATTGGCTTTCAAGTTTGCTGTCAGCAACATTAATAGAAACAGAACACTGATGCCTAATACCACATTAACCTATGACATCCAGAGAATTAACCTTTTTGATAGTTTTGAAGCCTCAAGAAGAGGTAATTATCTCAATTACTGTGTCAGTAGCATACATGTTGTGTAGTGCACACCTTTCCAGCCTGATCTCCTTTCCTGCTCTGATTGTATCATGTATATGAACAGCAACATAAAATTAATCTGTTTCAAAGGTATGTGAACTCAGAATCAAGCTGGGCTTGGACTTGACACTAGTTTCTGAATAAACTCCTCCATCCTGTCTGCATGCTAAGAGCCCCAGATGGAAGGTGGCAAGTCCAACCCATTTTTCTTTCCAAAACATAGATTTGCCACCTGGAATTCTGCAGAAAAATGATCGTGGACTCACAGGAAGCACAGTGGGATGTCACAACCCATAATTAGCACAGATACCCATCATTCCTAACAAATTATTTCTATTCAGCTCCAAAGACCAGAGGCCAGTAGTCTCCCTGTCCTGAAATAATAACACTCAGTGGCTTAGAGACAGGAGTTTCTCTGTTGAAAACAACATTCTTTTTCAATTATCCAGCATATGCTGGAACTATATCCTATCAAAACTCACGTATGCTGGGTTTTTTAATCCATGTAATCCAGACTGAGACAGGATTTTAGATTCCCTACAGAGTGAGAATCGCTTCTCTTGTGACTGTTCTCAAAGCACCTTCTCCATTTAAAGTGGAGTAAGGAGTTCATTAGAAATATTTTGTCAATCTACATGCAAGAAACTCGTGCAGACATTAGTGCTTCCTTCTCATCATGAATTATTGATAGCATTTATGCAATTTGCACATTAAAACCTATGATCCTTTAGAAAGGCTTCTGAATGAGACCTGGAAAGCCTGGGCATTTTATGCTGCCTGTAAAACACTTGTTTGTAGACTGAAAACAGAAAATAATTGATTTTCTGTCATATTCTATTAAAATCAGAGAGCTAAATACGAATTTAAAAAATCTCAGCTCACTGTGGATGTTTGTGTACTTAATATTTCACTCAACCACAGTAATTTCTAAATTTCCCACTGACAGCACCCTCACAAAAGGACAACATTGCTACTCAGTGCAGGGCTTTGTCCCAATTAAAAACATATGCAGTAAATGCTACTAATGGGCAAAAATAACTAATATTGTTTCATCTTCTGTCTGAAAACTTGAAAAAAAAACATAGGAGAGAAAGGAAAATTACCTCCAGCAGGGGTTCTTTGGGTTGAGACATGGGCACAAGGAGAAAAACCTTTGCTGGTGTCGGTGTTTGACTGATTTGGAGGGGTATAAAAATGTCAGTGTGTGTCGGTTCTTTATTTCCCGTGCTGTTACTGAGGGCTTTAGGCTTTACTGCCTGTTTTGTACACACAGATTATGGAGCTCAGTGAATCATGGTGCCCTTTACTGTTTATGTTCCTTCAGTAGCCTGAAATTAAAGCAACACACAGAGGTAGAAACCTGCCAGTCGGGGAGGGAATCCACAGAGTGTCTGTTGTGGCTCCCTGAACATATTTCCTGACACGCTGCCACGAAACTTAATTCATGTGATGTTCCTTTGGCAAGCCCAGAGCCTGGAAGCTCCTGGTTTCTCCAGGATAAAGCCATTCTGAGAAAAAGGCAGTTTGTAAATCCAAATTAGAAATTCAGAAATGAAAATGAGACCTGAAGGTAGTTAAGCAGAGAAGTGGGTTGGGTTTTGATTCGTAGCGAGCAGGTTTTTTAGGATATAATAATAATAATAATAATAATAATAATAATAATAATAATAATAATAATAATAATAATAATAATCATCAGTAAAGCTGTTTTCAGAACCACAGAATCATTCAGGTTGGACAAGCCCTCTGAGCCTATCGAGTCCCCCCTGTGCCCGATGCCCACCTTGTCACCCAGCCCAGAGCACTGAGTGCCACCTCCAGTCCTTCCTTGGACACCTCCAGGGGTGAGGACTCCACCACCTCCCTGAACAACCCCTACCAATGTTTAACAGCCCTTCCCATGAAGGAATTCCTCCTCATGTCCAACTGAACCTCCTCTGGTGCAGCGTGAGGCTGATCCTTCTCCTCCTGTCCCTGTTCCCTGGGAGCAGAGCCGGAGATTTCCCCCAGACTCCCCCCTCCTGTCAGGGAGCTGCAGAGCCAGAAGGTCCCCCCTGAGCCTCCTTTTCTCCAGGCTGAGCCCCCTCAGCTCCCTCAGCCGCTCCTTTAAATAACCTCACCCTCTAAACCACCTCTAAATGCTTTAGGAACCATTCTCAGCGGGTCTGGGAGGTGCTCTCACTGCTCAAGGATGGGGATGGGTGGGGGATAAAAGAACCTCAGCAAGCATCACACAACACGAGCTCCTTGTTTTCTGCCAGTTTTGCCAACCAAGCCCTTCTGTGCCCCCCTTCTCCCCCCTCAGCCTGTGACCAGCTGGCTCTGGGTGTCGCCGCCCTGTTCGGGCCCTCCCACAGCTCCTCGGTCAGCGCCGTGCAGTCCATCTGCAACGCCCTGGAGGTCCCGCACATCCAGACCCGCTGGAAGCACCCCACGGTGGACAACAAGGACGCCTTCTACATCAACCTCTACCCGGACTACGCGGCCATCAGCAGGGCGGTGTTGGACCTCGTGCTCTACTACAACTGGAAGATAGTGACGGTGGTGTACGAAGACAGCACAGGTCGGTGCACGGCGGGGCGTGGGCTTCTATTTATGCACACACGCGGAATTCTGTGGGAGAGAGAGTGCCTGCGATGGTTCAGTTTGTTGTAGTTGCAGCAGTTTGCCCAGAACACAGAAGAAAAACCTCCTGTGAGGTGCAGCTGTCCTGCTGCCCCTGAGGATTTTGGAAAGCTGCTCACTCCATCAGAACTTAAGGAGTTCAGCAGGAGGCAGCCCCTGGATTGTGAATATTCAATCCCATTGATTGAATTCCTGTTTGTGGAACTGATAAACAGCTTCCAGAATCCCAGAATAAGCAGGGTTGGAAGGGACCTCTGGAGATCACCCAGTCCAACCCCCCTGCCAAGGCAGGGTCACCTGGAACAGGTCACACAGGGACACATCCAGGTGGGTTTGGAATGTCTCCAGACAGGGAGACGCCACACCCTTCCCTGGGCAGCTGTTCCTGTGCTCTGCCACCCTCCATGGAAAAAAGTTCTTCCTCAGATTGAGGTGGAACTTGTGTTTCAGTTTATGGCCACTGCTCCTCGTCCTGTCACTGGCACCACTGAACAGGGTCTGGCACCTTCCTCTGGCAGCCCCTGGAGATATTTGTGTGGATTGATGAGATCCCCTCTCAGCCTTCTCTTCTCCAGACTAACCAGGCCCAGCTTCTGGAGTCTCTCCTCATAAATGAGGTGCTCCAGACACCTCATCATCTTCGTGGCCTCTGCTGGATGTTGTCCAGTAGCTCCTGGATAAATATCCCAGACAAAATAGGAACAAGGCCAGGCCTTTTTCAGCCCACCCCATTATCAAATTAGCATTCCAAAACACCAAGTGCTGTGAACGTGTTCAGTTACAAAAGCGACTGATATTAAAGAGACTTCATTTGCAGAGGTGTTTACAAAGTAAATTAATCATCAATCATCTTATTAACTCGGAGTCAGGAAAGTAAACAGGTCAGCTTTGATCAATATAAATAGCCTTTGGATTTTGGGTAAGAGTGGTGCCACTTAAGCTCTTTTTATTTCTCATCTCTCATTGTTACACTACAGGAAGGAAAAACATATTAGCCTATTTTTTAATCTTAGAGACTACAGTAGGGCAAGAAAATGAATGAAGGTTTCCATCCTTGCTGATTTTGTCTCAAAGCCCTAAATTGAACCTTTCCTCTCAGTGGTGAGTGTCCCAAAGCACTGCACTTGCCCAGACCCCCCCCACTCCCACTTGCAGTCATCTTGAGCACTTCAGTTTTAAAATCTGTCCCAAATCAAGGCTTGGTGGTATCATATCCAAGCGTTTGGATTTGTTGTGCTGTTAATTATCTGGCAGTCAGCTAATCCAGGATTTTGCCTCATCCTCCAGAAAAATACCTGCACTTCTCTTCACTGCTGCTTTGAATTCTTCAGTGCACCCTTCCTGGGCTTCATCTTCATGTGGCAGTGGGAAGGGTTGGGAAGGGCAAGGTCCAAGTCTGATGTGACCAAGGTAGATATTTTAAGGCACACAGTAACTTCTTTCCCCTAAAAGAAGGTGAAGGTGGGTTGGCAAATAAGCACTTTTAGCTGCTGGAAAGAGAAACAACAGTGCTCAGTCTGAGGCTGTGGATAAGAGGCAAGTTTCTGAGATTTCTCAAATCTCAGCTTTCCCTCTTGGAGCTGCCACTGATTACAGTGGCCAAGACACTGCAGCTGAACCCTTGGTACAACGGAGCTGCAGCTTTACAGCCAGATTTCACAAACTCCCCTCCTTGTTAGTCAGTGTTGGAAGCATGTGCCCCGTTCTTTCTCCTAATAACGAGCTCAAAATGTTCCGTATTCCCCGGGCTGGCTCCCGGCCAGGCTCCAATCCCCCCCCCCCCCGCCCCCTGGCCAGCAATTTACATTTGAATGCTCACAATGCTTAATATTATATATCGATTGTTGATACTTGAAAACCTGCAAAGAGCAGGCCCAACCTCGCAGGCAGAGGGAGGGATTAGTTTTTTTCGAAGCACTCTGGAGGTACTTGAGTGAAAGCCAACAGTCCTCAAGGCAGCAAACCCTCAGTAACCCCAGAAGAAATGGGGATGTTTTGTCTCACCTTGGGCGCACCACTGGACCACTCCACCCAGGACAAATATACCCAGCTCCCAGCAGGACAACCAAGAGTTATTTCATTTCAATAATGTGCTTGATTTTTGTTCAAGAAGTGCTTCTTGCCTGTATTCCCCCTCTCCCTCTCTCTCTCCAGGCATGTTTTTAAGGCAGCCTTTTGCTTTCGCTCGGCGGGAGATCACGAATCTTTTTTGTGGGTAAATTGCGTTCATGGATAATGAGAAAGAGACTGTAATCACACACCTCAAAGAGCTCTTAGCTATCTTTCTTAGGTTTTGGAGGCAGTACAAATTGTGTGGGAGTGCCGAATTAGCTGGTGGAATTGCACTGTGTTTAAACACTTGGACAAGCCCTCAGCTGGTTGAGCTCCGCTGACTTCAAATAAGGCACGTAAACCTGTGCCAGCTGAAGAGAGAATCCAAGAAATCCTGTTCTTTACAGATGTGTTTACAGGTGTGGAGCTGGATCTCGAAGTGTTTTGGTCCTTTATCAGGTGTCACACTTGCTGAGTGACCTTACATTAGGCAGGAGAGCTGGGAGGAGGTTTCTTCACCTCTGTGTTCCTCTTGGTTGATATTGGAATAATAATTGGCTGCTGAGGAAGAGGCCTTATGTGCTTTTTGCAGTGAACTATATCAATTTAAACATAGTACAGTATGTTTTTATGGTATTATATCAATGCAAACACACCCTGCAGCCAAGCAGTTAGAAATACCTTTCAAAATATTCACACGTTGAAGCCAAGTACAAACATGAAAATAAAAAGCTTTAATAATGCTAGTAGGAGGCTGGCAAATAGGGAGCTGACAATTATCCTTAGGGAATGTGAAATATGTTGGGGACTGGTAAGAGACCCTGTTTCAGTGGCAAGTGATCCTCGTGGCACAGGAGGGTGAGTCGCATAACTGCCTGTGTGATTTTCCAGGTCTAATTCGCCTGCAGGAGCTCATCAAAGCCCCTTCCAGGTACAACATCAAAATCAAAATCCGCCAGCTGCCCTCTGGGAACAAGGATGCCAGGCCTCTGCTCAAGGAGATGAAGAAGGGCAAGGAATTCTATGTGATATTTGACTGCTCCCACGAAACGGCCGCAGAAATCCTCAAGCAGGTAACGGGAAGGGGGTGGCAAAGCACAGCAGGGATCTTGTAGCCCAGAAGTCCTCAGCTTTCATTTGCTGGGATACACCAAAACTGAATGCACTCCCAGTTGGGCCAAAGGCTGGTTAATAGCAGGGACAGAAACTGTTGCAGCAGCCACGAGGCTTCCCAGAGCTAGAAGGACCAGCAGCAGGAATGACATCCCAAGAGAAGCCCATCAATATCCCACGGAAGGAAATGTGCATTTCTTTTCAATACTTCAGGTTCTGCTTGACTAGGAAGATCATTACATTTATTTTAGCTTGTCCTGGTTTAATCAGTGGTGTTTTGATTTCTTTCCCATAAAAAAAAAACCAAACCCAAACCTGGAAGGGCCCATTTTGGAGTGCTGAGCTGTTGCTTCTGTGGAGGTTTGAGGTCATTCTCAGTGCTGACTACAGGAACAACAGGGCATTAACTCACTGCAGACAAACCTAACTCTGCTTTCACTACCCTGTGTCCCACAAAGGTTCCTTTCTTCTTCCATTCCAGAATGTTCCACTGAAATATGTAAGCTGTTCAGAGCAGCTCTCTGTGTCAAAGTTAGTTGTAAGACGACTTAGTCTGTCGAGCCTAAAACATTCCTCTCCAGGCTGGAGGATCTTGGTCCTGAGAATATGGGCTTGCAGGATGATGTCCTAAACCAGATGCAACAATGTGAGCTCGTAGGGTAGATTTACTGCTGTCAGGAAAGCAGGCCTGTACTAAATTTTAGGATTTTCTCAGTGCAAGTTGTTTATTCGAGCTACAGCAGGGCCAGGTGCAGGCAAGACTTTGGGAATGGGAGGGAAAAGCAAGGGGAGGTCAGGAGCTGGGCAGGAGAGCTGCTCTCCCCTCACTCTGCTCCCTGCAGGGCTGTCCAAAAGCATTAAAACATGACAAGCTGCTCCAAAAGGAGATTTCTGGGGCAAGAGTTAAACACAACAGAGATTTTCAAGGACCTGCAAGAAGAAAGTGCAGATGTCTGGCAACGCTGCAGGAGGCACAGAGCTTCAAATATGCCATGCTGGGTATGGAAAAAAACACCAAAAAACAAAACCTTGAGTGTCAAAGGAAGAGGAGGGAGTGTTAAAAGATGCACTTAAACAGGGCAAAGCAGCAGAAGGGTTTGTGTGGGATATGGATCAGGGAGACAGCTGACAGGCTGCAGACACAGATAATGCTCCCCAGTGCCTTAAAAACTCGGAGAAGGACGGGGAGTGACAGTGTGGGAGAAAACAGGAGATTTAAGAGAGGTGCACCTGTGGATCAGGGCTGAGAGAAAGGGAACAACATAAATAGAGGCAAGAAAGAAAGGGAAAATGGCTTTTCTATGAGACAGTTCTGTGGCTGAGCACAGGTTCTGGCAGCAATAACTCAGGGGTGGAGGTTCCTCACTGCCAAAGGCAGCTGTGAATTGTGCAGCGTGGAGGGCTCGGAATTCACGGGGGACTCATCTGATTGTAGGTTACATGAAGTGCCCTGGTTCACATTCTCTTCCCTGCACACACAAACCCCTGTAGAATTTTACCCTGAATGAAAGCAAGGTCTCAAAGGCAAATTATTTTAGGGGAAACTCAGTGATAGTAATGGAGAATATTTCTGGCTTTGCAAACGATCCACTAGATGAAAATTGAAAAAAATAAATGCTGTTGTTAAATTATATAAGATTTCCAACAGGGGTAGGGATCAGAGCCACCTAAGCAACAATTTCTTGCCTTCCCCCCTGCATTTAAATGAAGGAGATGTTTAGTAAGCCACGCAAGCAGGGGCTGCTCGTGTGAGCGCTCGGGGGGGCACCAGGGCAAGGGATGCCCAAAAGCTCCTTCTGGGAGCAGAAGTGTCAGCACAGAATTAATTATGTGCTGAAAGAGTCATCCCAGGGAGCTCCCCGAGCCAGCCACATGACTGGGCTGTGGGACCAGGGGAGGTGACTCCTCCACTTGCCTCCTTCAGCCTTTGGTTTACAAAACAGCTCAAAAGACAGATTTCCTTTCTTAAACGAGACCAACGTTTGCTTATTTATAGCTTCAGCTAAAACACCACTGAGCTTGTGCACAACAACAGCAGGCAGAATCAATAACCTAATTGAAACAAAATACAAAGCCTGCACAGAGCTATTCCCTAAACTCACACACATTTCCCCTTCTCTCTGACGTGCTGCAGAGTCTCTGACTACCTTAATGAGGCCTGGCCCTCTCCTCACCCCCATCTGGAAGGAGCAAGAGGAAACTGTGGTTATTAATTGCTGCCTTTTCCAACAGTCTCTTTGAATTTTCTCTCTGTATTGCTTTCCAAGGAGCAGGGCCAGTAACCTCAGGGTTTTTCAAACCAGACATCCCCCACCAGCAGAACTGATGGAAGAAGTTGCCCCTGGCTCTGTCATTCCCATCATCTCCTTGAACACCTTGGCTGCTGGAGCTTTAAAGCTTGTGAAGACTCAATTCTAGAGAGATCTAGTAGAGAATTGGAAGCCAGAAGCAGGACCTGAGAGCAGCTGTGGTTTCTTAGGGTAAAATTGGGATTACCAAAGTGCCACTCAGGACCTTACTTAGCTCTGAAGGAACCTCCCTGTGCGACTTCAGCACTGACTGTCCTGCTCTGCTCCGAGGGTGCCCCACGTATCTCTCCTTTCCAAGCTTAAAATAGATATATCTGAAAGAGTGTGAGATGATAAGGCACCCTCCAAACTTGCCTAAAACCAGCAGGGCTGAGTAGTCCCTTGCACATGGAAGATGGAAACACTTCCTCACGGGAAAATTTGCTGGTTGTGACCTTTACCTGAAATATTCGGTGGATAGAAGTTTGGTACCCTGCCTAGGTTGGGTAAGCAGTCCCCGAGAAAATTAAACCTAGCTGTGGCAAATTGCAATCTGTTTTATGCCCCAATCTCCCAGTACATCCTGCACACGCTGTATTTAGTGTGATATTGCCTTTTTACACGAGGAACTCAGCTGAAGAGGTTGAGTTTTAATGCTTAACCTTCCGTCTGTTCTAACACACCGAGACTTGACGCAGACTTTTTACTGCAGGAACGGAAATCATGTTCCTGCTAACCTTAAATTACCTACTCCTTGCTTCACACCTCTAAAATAAACTCAAGGAAGTGTGCTGTATATTTAATCAGGGCTAGGACACCGGAGAGCATTCTGTAAAGATTTCTGTGTTCACTTCCACTATGTGACAGACATGGAAAAAAAAAAATAAAATAATTAATTCAGTTCCTGCAGAAGTATAAAAACTCAGTGTCACCATGGTGGGCTTTCCTGGTACAGTAATAAATGTGAGAATATAATAAGTGTGAGAATATAAATCTTCAGCTTTCGGACACCTGGGAGGTGAGGAGGCAGAGGGGCTTTTATTCATTGTGGTCCGTCTTGCTGATCTTAGAAAAGAGTGGTGGGGCTAATTAATTGGATAATGAAATGCATTCGTTTAATGGCCATGGAATTAAATAATAACGTAAGTGAGGAAAATGCAGAGTGAAAGCAAGCAAAGCATTTGATGCAGTTCCCACCAACACCCTTCCCCATCCTTCCAATTACAGCCCCCCTTGAAGGAAGATTGACAATAGCTCTAAATAAGGCAGGGACTTTTTTTATAAGAAGTTGAACAAATGCAAGTTGGAGCTGGGATATGATCCAAGCCAGGAACAGGGCACCCAAAAGAGATTTTCAGACATAAGGGAGAATAGTTTTATCTAGCTTCTCTCAGCCTGCCATGTGTAATCTGACCACTGACACCTTGTCAGATCCACCTTGTTGTTCACGAGCCACAGCTAAAAGTCAAGGCCTAGCCTTCTGGTCTGAAATGGGTGATTAGAGATGGAAATCTCTCTGTCTTTTACTGTTATTTATGTGTTGTGCAGCCACACCTGAGTTTGGCTGAAGAGCAAATTTTATACGGGGTAAGATGGGTAGGAGACCTACAAGGAGAATATTTTGGGCTGATTTCACTAGTTTAGATTCATCTGAGTTCTGCAGTAAGTAAAAGCTATTATTGTTTAAATAGGACGTTTTGTATCAGGTGCATAATTGGCTACAAAATTACAGGCAAAGTTATTTAAATAGGAATGTGTAATGAAATCTCATTCCAGCTTCCCGTGGGCAGCTATAAATACACATATGCTGCCTTTCCTTCCCTCTCCTGGGCTACTGGACCCTTTTTCTCTGGTGGGGAGGTCACTTGGTCTGTGGGAAGTGCCCGTGCAGCTGCTTTGCAAGGAGCTCCAGAGGTGTCCCAACCCGAAATCCATCTTTGCTCCTAACAGCCCTTTATTGCTGGGTCACTCCTGGGAGTTCCCAGAAGCTGCTTTCCCTGGATCTGCCGTGTTGCAAACACACAGCAGAAGATGAGTCCTCAAAACTCTCCTATTCACACTAATAGGAGCATCCAAGTAATTAAGGCTTGGGAGCAAGTAGTGTTTTGGGATGTCCAGCATTGTTCTCAGCATCCCTCTTGCTTTTTTCTTTAACTTGTTTTCATCTCCTGCCCACTGAATAGTTGTTAATTGGATTTTTTATTTAGTGAACATGTTGCCCTTAAACATAAATAAATTCGTGTTGGAAGTCTTTCCGATTCATGAATATAAAGCACCCTATTTAGGTCAATCTACAGATCTGACTCAGATATCACAGGCATGTCTAAATGCTGAATAACTGTTAACTCATTATCATCCTTAATGACTGATACTGGGGAGGACAAGCAGTTAAGGCTGTTCTTGTCCCCCAGGGCAGAGCTCAGTGGCAGGTCAGGAACAGATCCAACCCCAACTCCTACTCCTTAACCCGACAAGGACATTATTAAGGTGTGTGTGCCACTTACAAACACCCTTCCAGCTGTCCATATCTGCAGATCTTAATTGAGTCACTGTTAATATAGAAAACACAAAAGTGACACGTTGATTAAGCTTTCCTGGGCTGCTGCAATACTTTCTCTGGAAGAATTTCAACGAGCATCTCTCCTGGAGCTTTTGGGTTCAGCGTCCTTGGCAATTCCTTCCAGCAATTGCCATTGGGAACCCGAGTCTTGGATATAGGAGGGGAATCTCAGTTTTCACATGAAATTGCCTTGAGCTTTCAGGGGGTTTGTTTCTATTTGTTTGGGAATTTTTTTTGTTGTTTGTGGGGGCTTCGTGAAGTTTTGGTTGGTTGTTGGTTTGGTGGTTTGGGTTTTTTTTGGGGGGTTTGTTTTGTTTAGAAGGACAATCCTGCAGCATGACTTTTGAAATCATTATTATTCCCAGCTGTGTCTGTGTCCTGCCAGCTCTGTTTATAGGGCATTACTTGGCAATCAATATTCTCATAAAAAGTGTTCATCAGAGATGTGTTCAGGAGGTGAACACCCCTCTCAGGCTACAACCCTTGGGTTTGAGAGGAAAGCAGCAACCTTGGATTAAATAGCAGTGTTTCTCAGACATCCAGGCCACACCCTTTCCAATCACTGCAGTAAATGCATCTATCTGCTTAATATCAATTTGTATTTTAAGGCACTGTATGGAGTAGCATTGTCCTGGTTTTCCATTGTTTTGCTATTTCTACGCAGGCAAATTGTTTATACCTTCTGATGGCAGAAGTGCAATGGCTTGTCAGCTCTCCTGTCTCAAGTTGGGATCATAGCTGGGAGGGATCAACCATTGAAATCTGAGCATTTTTATCCTCCCATTTACACTGATTAGTAAAAACTTGCCTTCATACTAATGCACCACCACGGACTAACTGCAAACCAAATAAATTCAGGCCTATGGGAGGATCACCTGGGCTCAGACTACGTTTATTTGACCTGGCAGCTCTTTTGTGCCCCACATGAACCAACCGGGCTGTTTCAAAACGGTTTCAGCTCAAAGATCATAAAAAAACCCCGTCCAATTGGCACCTCCTTCCCACAGACAGAGAAATCCAATGGCTCCAGGGAGTGGAAATGAGTCCAGCCTGCTCAGCTGGGAAGCAGAGCACACAGAAATTTCGGTGGATGGTCCCACGTGTCACTATCTGTGCGTGAATAGGGCAGGAACATCCTCCTCCAGGGTTGCTTGCATTGCTCCTTTCTACAGGTGATAATTCTGAGAAACAGAATAGGAGAGGATTAATAAAACAAGAAATAAAAAAGGCAATTTTGATGTGTAAATTCAGTGGAGCATTTCAATAAAATACTTGCCTTCTGGCTTGACTTTTAGTGGCTGGAAATGGATTGTTTGTTTGAGATGAACACTGAGCTGTTTTTATTATCTACTCCAGCTTAGAAAGTTCAGGTTCTTTCTTCTTTTTTGTATTTTTTTTAATTTTTTTTTTTAATGTGAGGAAATTCCATGCACAAGCACTCAACTGATTTTCAGAGGCTTTTACCATGAAAGAGAATTTTGGTGAGTCAAATCAAAATGTTTCCCCCTGTCTTTCAAACAGCTATTCAGGTACTGCCTAAAAACGTCCTGAAATAGTATTAATAGCAGTTACTTACATTACAGTGATCAAGAGTGAATAAGAGTTAACCTTTGTCTGTGCTGCTGTCTTGATAATGAATTCCTCAGTAGTTTCCCGGCTCATAATTCCTCCCCCTCTTCACAAAATCCCAGAATACAAAAACCTGCACCTAAGCACTTTCCCTTACAAATTGTGTTGTCTCCCAGTAAATTCCTTTTTAACACTTCTAAACTGCAGACTAAAGAATTTCACTTTTAAAAAATCAGCTTCTCGTTATCTCTAGTAATTTTTCTTGTCCTAGAAGCTTTGCGACCTTTAATCTCTTTCCTGAGCAGAGGTGATAAAAACACAATTTAAATACAACAGGGTATTTTTTTGGCTCCTGAAGAAAAATGTAAGGTTTGTTGTAATCGAGTTTTCCTGATCCAGGCTGTGTTGTTCCAGATTAACTCTTGCTTTTCAAAAGGCAGTGCAGGACACTGGAATATTTCAGAGTAAAGTACACTCACCTTTCAATCTCTTCCAACAGATCCTCTCCATGGGAATGATGACAGAATACTACCACTACTTTTTTACAACACTGGTAAGAAACACTAAAGATTTGGGGGTGAATTTTCCCTGCTTCAGGAAAGACAACTAAAAATTGTCCCTTTTCCCAGGAGATCTTTGTTGCTGTTATTCAAGGAAATCCCTGGAGAATGAGTCCTAACACTTCTTATTAATATCAGGACCCACAATTTTGTAAGGAAGCTGTTTGGCCCTACCTGTGGGGCTGGTTAACACTTTAATACAGTGAAAATTAATTGCAGTATTGGGGTTAAGGAGGAACCATCAGTACAGGTGGATCAGAGTGAAATGAAACGGTGAATCCATGGCTTTGCAATGGAGCTGAGATCATCAATAAAATGTTTAATTTGCTTATCAAAACAAAATCACAAATTTATGAAATCACTCAGGAATTTTAGAGTAAAAGTAAACCTGTCAATCTATAAATACTTATTTCAGCATATTTTTCGTATATTACATGCTACATATATATATAAATTTGTGCTTAAGGTTCATTTGCATTGTAGACTGGAGAGACAGCAAAGAGCTGATACTGCTAGAACAGTCCTAGAGGGCTGGATTATATCAGCCTATATAATTCTCTGTTTGTTCTTTATTTCCTTTCCAAATAAAATTTTAAGTGGAAGTGAAAAAAAAGCTTTGAATCCCATAGTCAGTTGGTTAGTCAGAAGAGATGCTCTGACTGTTGGGAACTTGCAGTAGTTTTCTTTGAGGCCATTTTAGCACCAAGGAAAATGTGAAAATTTAGGATTTACTGCGGAACTTAAAATTTTATACACTAAACAGGACAGGAATGTACCATAAAAGGGTAACCACCACCAGTAACATGTAGGAGATAGTACAGAGCACATATCAGGACAAGCACTAAGCAGTGCTGGTGGTATCTTCTCCTGTAAATGGTTTGTTTTGATGCCTGATATATCCATCAGACATCCTGGCAGCAAGTCACCAAGGCAGGAGAAAAATGGGATTTATAAGCAGTGAAAGTGTATTGCTCCCGACATCTCTCGGAATTTTCCTTCCCCAGGCTGAGAAATAAGCCTGACACTGGCCAGCTAATTCCTCATGTTGGGTAGTCAGAGCTATAAACTGGAATGACACGGTGCTGTGCAGGTTGGTGGAAAAACGGTGTTGTTTGGGGGAGCTGGTGGGTTTTTTTCTTTCCAAAAAGCAGATGTGGGGTTTGTCATCCATTTTCACAACAGCTTTGGTTTACTCAGGCTTAAAACTGAAGCAGTTTTGGAGGGCAGTCAGAGGGGAAAAATCACAGGGAAAAAACCCCAACACTTGGGCTTTAGGTTAAAATCAAATACAATTTGGGCCTAATGAACCTTTTGCTTTAAAAATGCTACTTCTGGTTTCATAAGGCACCTATACATCAGAATTAGGTACAGGTTGGTTGCAGAACAGTGTTGTTATGGGGAGCTGATTTTTTTTTTTCGCTCCAAAAAGCAGATGTGTGGCTTGTCATCCATTTTCACAACAGCTTTGGCTTAGTCAGGTTTAAAACTGAAGTGGTCATGGCCAGACTTTGAGGGTGTTCACAGGGGAAAAAGAGCAACATTTGGGCTTTAGATGATTGAAAATCAAACACCAACAGGGGCTAGTGGTGCCTATCTTGTTTTGAAAATGTAATTTGTCTTTTTTAGGACCTCTTTGCCCTCGACCTGGAGCCCTACAGGTACAGCGGGGTGAACATGACGGGCTTTCGGCTCCTCAACATCGACAACCCGCACGTGTCGTCCGTGGTGGAGAAATGGTCGATGGAGCGCCTGCAGGCACCCCCCAAACCCGAGACTGGGCTCCTGGATGGCATGATGACAGTAAGTGAGCCACCACAGCGCCACAGGGCGTCAGTGTGAGCTGGCCCCAATCCCCCAAACGTCGCCCCCAAGCCGGAATTCCTTTCACCGGTTTGCCCCCCCTGAACCAACGCTGTGCTTGCCCCTGTGACAAACCCCTCCAGAAATGAGTGGCAGTTCTCTGTCACGATGCTGCTCAGCTGACATCAGCCATCTGATGGCTCTCAAAAGCAAAAAGTGCTGCCTCATTCCCCTGATTGTGTTCCGTGGGCAGTGAGGAAAACAACGGGAAAGAGGAACTTTGGGAGCAGGTGTAGGTTTGTAACCTGCAGGGAAAGGTGTTGTACTTGTGGGCAGGGAACAGCATTTTGAAATGGGTAAAGTGCCTTTCTCCTAATTTCCATCTCTGGCTTTTAAGATTTCATTTAAAGATAAATGAAAGGTGTCATCAAGCCAGGAAATTAGGATTTTTTTTTTTTTTAACGAAATCCTAGCGCTCCCCCAAGAAGTCAAGGGAAGAACAGGAGCAAGTATGAGGACAACATGACTCCATCCAATTTTGCAGGGTGAAGGGTTGCCATTTTTTTGCTGTATAAGATGATATATCTCCTGTTCCGAGGGGATTTCCAAGTGATAGGAAATAGACTTCATTGCAGATGATTGCAGGGAAAAATTTCAAATACCTTAACATCCTGAAGAGAAATGCATTTATGTGTGTTATCTCCAGCATTTTAAAACATTATTGCTTGCGTGGGCAGTGACATTGTGCTCACTCTCTGCAAGGCAGGGGAGAAAGCTCTCTCTGGGAACCCCTGATGGGAACTCACACACAAATTACCCAACTGGAACACTCAGAAAAAAAAAAGTTCTCGCCAGACTCCTCTCGTGCTCTCCTTTGTGCCTCTGATTCTTATCCTCTGCTTTCCATCTCCATAATCTCCCAGTGCCCCTGATGCTCTGAAGCAGCACGAGCACCAGGGAAAGCATCTTCCAAGCTGGCTGTGATCATTTCAATATTCCTGGCAGGTTCTGCTTATCCAGTCTGATGGAGAGCTGCAGCACTGCTCTATTTCATTTATCAGCAAGGCTGTACAAGCTGCACAGTGCAAAGAGATCAGGATTACGTGCTAATTCGGGATTTCTCCCTTGCCCTGATGTCCCCTTGTGGGGAGTCAGCAGGGCGTGACCACGACAGTTCTGAGCTCACGCCTCGCTTTGTGCCCAAACTGCACAGAGAGGCATAGTTGTTCTAATGAGATCTTTGGGCTCCTTTGCAGTGGTTTAAGGAGGATACAAAAGTCAGAAAAAACAAGTTCCAGGGATTGCTCTTAGTCCCTTTCAGATTACACACAGTACAGACACCAGGGTTGTCCTTGGAAAATGAGGTGACCTGTTGCACCAGGCAACCCCAAGCCCTAAAAGAGAGGAGAGCTAAGTGAGGACACTGGAGAATTTTGGCCAAGAATCTCCTTCCTGAGTCTCCAGGCCTGGGGCACAAGACAGACTGGATTGCAGTGGTCATGTAAAATTCAGTCCTGAAAGGACACCTGCCCAGTCTAAGGTAAAAACCCCCCCTGAATTCCACTGATGTTGATGGGAATATTTCCATTGATTTTGAGGGATTTTGGATCAGACTAAGTGTGGTTGGAACAACTGTCTGTTTTAAGACACTTGACAGTGAGAACAGCTGTTGTTGTCTCCTCCTGCTTGACTCAGCATTCACAACGTTTTCTGATTCCCCAGTTCGCTCCGATTGTGGGATCAGTATTTTGGGCAGATCCTTCCTAGCACACTGAGAGAGATCCCTCATCTGCAGTAGATTGAGATTAACCCATAAATTCAGATATCTGACTGCCAGCAAAAACCTCCAGCGCTGATAAGACTGAAGCTGCTGTAATTTCCTTAGGTAAACGACACAGACAAAGAATCAAATGCATTAATTTCCCAAAGTAATTGCATGGAAAAGAAACTAAAAAATTATCACCTTTCTAGTTCCTATAAATGAACCCAATTTCTCATCTGCAGAATTAGTACTTTTTTTTTCAAGGCCCCTGCTTAATTATTCATTAGCTGTAAAGAAAGGGGAGCACTTGATGTGTTTCAGCATCCTGTGTATTAAGGGAGACACAGCCATTCCCACCTCACACAGGAGAGCACTGAAGCAAAATGCAGGTGAAGGGGAGGTTTTCCTAAAACTTCCCAGTGATAAAGGGTGACAGGGTGCGTGATCTCAGTTTGAGGACACGCTTTTAAACCAAGAAATCCATTCTCAAAAGAAACAGAGATGCACAAAGTGAATAAATCTACCTGGCAGCATTTAACTACCTAAGGGTTATATCCCTCTGCAATGAGAATTTAGATGTGGAAGTCCAACTTATCCCCCAAAAAGACACCTCAAAAGGACAGTTCACCTGTCCCTAAGACAGCATTGGGAATGTGGCAGGAGAGTAACCCAAACCAAATCTTGGTGGGGCCATTTCACATAGAAAAGTCAAGATCCTCGAGGGCAGTAGATACCTGCTTGGTGAGATTGGTTTCCCTAGAAGGCAAGGGGTAAGGAGGCAATGTCAGGAGTGCCATGAGAAGTGTGTGTGTCACCTGGGGCTCCTTAAAACTCCTCTCCAAGCCCCCAGAGCTGCCTGTGCGCTCCTTCCCGTGCTGGACCCACTGATCTCTCCCTTCCTGCAGCTGCCTAATGCGGTTTTCTTCCCCAAAAACTCACCTGAAGATACTGTGAAATTAATATAAGCTAGGAAAAAAAAAAAAAAAAAGAAAAAAAGGTATTTTTTGCTTCAGGTTTCCATGGAGAGCCTTTCCCATAGGAGCAGCCCAGCCAGGTCAGCGGTGGTCAGGAGAGGCAGTGAGGGACCAGGCACCAAGCTGCACACTGAAGAATTCCTCTCTGCTTTCCCCTGCAGACCGAGGCAGCTCTGATGTATGACGCTGTGTACATGGTGGCAGTGGCCTCCCAGCGCGCCTCCCAGCTGACCGTGAGCTCCCTGCAGTGCCACCGCCACAAACCCTGGCGCTTCGGACCCAGGTTCATGAATCTCATCAAAGAGGCAAGTGTAGACCATCTGCTCGTGGCCTGCATCACCCTCCCTCTCTCTTCTTTGCCACCCTGCTGTGCTCTTGTTTCTGGTGCTCAGTTATGAGGTTCTTCCTCGCTTTCCTGGCAGAGAAACATCGATTTACAGGCTCCACTCTGGTGGAGACTTTATCTGCTCTTGCAAAAAAAAGAAGCCGCTAAACCCTGGGTGGGGCAAAATCCCTAAGACACCTTAATAATTCCCAGGTTTTCTGATCAGTTCGTGTTTATTGTGGATGTTGATGATTTATAAATTTTCCAGAAGTGGAAACAAAAGGGAGTCTGGAGCTCTGTCCTCGCTTCACTATGTAATTCCAGTTGTTTTGCAGGTTGTTTGATCAGTGATCAATATCCAGGAAACAGTTGTTTCCAAAGAAGGAGATTGCTTCATGAAGCGCTGCACTATAAAGAATCCATGACTGAGCTGGCTTGATCCGGAGAAGCCCTAAAAAATTGCATATTTTAGTTGAAATGCCTTCACTCTTCCAAAAAATTCAGGTTTTATTATGAATTTCAAATGGAAGCTTTGCCTTCGGGGACGAGCGTGGAAGTGAAAATAGGAAATTACATGGAGCATCCTACACATGCATTTTAACTTTTCCCCCATTCCCAGTTCCTTGCCAGTGTGATTCCCACCAAAGCTGCTTTCCTTAGCACTTGTGTGGCTGCAGCAGGACCCGTGGGCTGAGGGACAAGGTGAGCGGTGGTGGCACGTCAGGGCAAACACCTGAATCCAGAAATATAGCGGGAGCAAACTGAAAGACAAGCCATGTGGCGGCTCCAGAACATGTTGAAGAGCTGTCAGCACCTTCCCCAAACCTCTCCAAGAGCAGTTTTTAGAGCTGCAATGGGCGATGTACAACGTGGTGATTCACCTACACGGGAAGCTCCAGACCGGAGGGTTTTAGGAATTTGAGAAGTTTTAGGAACTTCAAGGTTTCCTGGGCTGATCCCACAGCGTGGGCAGCAGGTCAGAGGGGGGGATTCTGCCCCTCTGCCCCCTCAGGTGAGACCCCCCCCATCCTGCAGAGCTGCCTCCAGCCCTGGGGAACAGCACAGGGAGGACGTGGAGCTGCTGGAGAGAGTCCAGAGGAGGCACCAGGATGATCAGAGGGATGGAGCAGCTCTGCTGGGAGGAAAGGCTGGGAGATTGGGATTGTTCAGTCTGGAGAAAGAGAAGCTTTGGGGTGACCTGAGTGTGGCCTTCCAGGACCTGAAGGGAGCCAAGGCAAGAAAGATGGAGAGAGATTATTTCCAAGGGTCTGGAGTGACAGGACAAGGGGGAATGGCTTCAAATTGACAGAGGGCAGGAATAGATGGAATATTGAGAAGGAATTTTTGGCTGTGAGGGTGGGGAGGCCCTGGCACAGGTTGCCCAGAGAAGCTGTGGCTGCCCCTGGATCCTTGGAAGTGTCCAAGGCCAGGTTGGAGCAACCTGGGCTAGTGGAAGGTGTCCCTGCCCATGGCAGGGGGGTATGACTGGATGATCTTTAAGGCCCCCTCCAATCAAAACCATTCCATGATTTTCCTGTAAGCTTCTCCCTTTGCAAGTATAAGGAAAAGACAAGAGTACTCAGTCCCAGTATTCAGGGACCTGACTTAAGAATTCAGGAGGACACTTTGAGATACTTCCCTCACTGCAACAGAATCATTAGAACACTCAGGGGAGTCAGGGAAGCAGCCCTGGCAAAGTTTGTTTTTGATGGATGACATGATTAGATTCTGGTTGAACTTCCATTCTATCCTGTAACATTTACCATGTCACCAGAAACATTAAAATTGCAGTAAATCCCGTGTGAAAGCGTGAAATCTCATCACTGGGTTACACAGCCACACAGCTCCTGACTGTTCAGAAAGTTCTGCTTCACTTCAGCTTGTTAATTAATGAGAATTGTGCAACTGCTGCTTTCTCTTTTTGCCTGAACATGTTCCCTAATAGGCCTCACACCCCTGATTTCCCTGACAGGCAGGTGGGATACAGCTCTGATTTCAGAGCAGTGATGCTTTTCACTGTGTTTGTATGCAGCAGGCAGCTGCTTTAGGGCTCCTAATAAAGGCTTGGAAGTTTCACCACACAATTCAGAAGGGCTGGGATGGAGACTGTTCCCAGCTCATCCCTCCCTTTGCTTCTCAAGAAAAACTTCTGTTTCTAGGAAAGAAACATTACCTGTCTGTGCAGAGATGCTGCACACACAGACCCCAGCACTGCCTTGAAGCTCAAGAAACACGATTACACTCGCTGGGCTCAAACCCAAACGCTTCATTTTTTTGTTTAGAAGAAATAAAATCAATAAAACAAACACCAGAAATTCGGTTTAGAATTCAAACGGTACTTGAAGCCTCACGATGAAGGGCCTGAAAAGCCCCTTCAACATTTAACTCATCTGACAAACACACCCTTGGCTCCTGTTTAGAATTTAAATCACATTTGGGTCATTTGATGGTCTAAGTGGGACTGAAGTGAGACAAAGGCCATATGCACTTCTCTGGGCAAACTCAAATTTAAGCACACACCTCTTCCTTCCTGCTTTTTTTAGTGTGGAGGCAGGAGCACCAATTCCTGCTTTCAAAAGTGAGATGCATTTCACCACAGAAAGCTTTTTTTTTGGTTTATGTTTTCTTCTTCTTCCCCCCCCCCCTCCCCCCCCCACAAGGAGGCTCCTGATGCCATTTCCCAAAATAACACGTTGGGTTTTTATCCCAGATCATATCAGGTTAGCAGAGAAGCCGAGCGTGTGATGTGTAATCAATAAATGGGAGCCTTTCACAGCAGCAAATTGCCCTCTGTGGAGGGATTGATCTCTAAAGATCATATTTTTTAAAAAATGCTCCATCTCTGTGAATAAGAGATGGGGGGGGGTCACGTCAGAGTAATGAAAAGACAGACTGGAAAAGAGATATTGTGGAATGAAATGCATCCATATGTATCCCCTCCTGCTATCAGCTCAATATACAAATAATAAATAATAAATAACCCTGCAAGTGTTTAGCCGTTTACAGCAGGGATTTTTGTGTATTCCTGGATTATTAAGAGGAAAAATCTCACAGCAAGTTTGTTGCATTTATCCTTCTCCATCTTATTTTGCTTAAGCATGTTCTGAACCCCTGCTGTATGTCCACAGAATTCCAGATGCAGCAGATTTGTCTGAGACACGTGGTAGTAACACCCCAGCATCTGAGATTAAACCCTGCAGATTCAGGGCTGGAATTCAGATTTAACAGGCTGGGGAGACACCAGTCTGGAAGTCTGGTGATTTTTAATGCAGCTTTCCTTATGTCCTCTGTCTCAAACAAATTAAATGAAGCAGAGAACGATGTGCAGTAGAAAAGCCTGTAATTTAAAATTATATGGCTGACACACGTGAAGGAACAACACCATCATTTATCGTCAGCTTTCCTTGTATCTTCGAGGAACTTAATCTAATGTGGGAGCCCCCAAAAACAGATTATCAAAATTGTCTGCAGTTGGAAACCCGTCAAACACTTTCTTTTATAGATAAGCACCAGCTCTGGGGACAAAGTGGGGGCTGGATGAGAGGCAGGTGAATCTTTAAAGGCAAATGAGCTGGGTGGGAAGTTCACAAGACACAGAAAACTTAAATTGTGGAGGAAGTTAGTTCTTGAAGTTGATCCTGCTGCCCCAAAGAAGCATTCCCCAGCACAGGGAATTATCCTGGCTGTACTGAGTGATGGACAGAATTCACCTCCTGCTGCCAGTGTTTCAAACAATTAATTAACCCACTGATTTATAAAATGCTGCCTGGACCAAAGTGGATCATATGCAACTCATGTGCTGTACTTGAAGCACAAAGGTAGGACTACAATCCAGCAAAGTCTGGGACAGTAAAATTCCGTCACTGATGGGGAACGTTTGACAACAACGCACCCAAGGAACCAAGCAAGGATGACAAAAGCTCATCTCCTCCTGGAAAAATCTGGATTTCTGGGTGCTGAGCGGCACAGGCAGATTCTGTCACACACAGATTAAAGCGATGAGAAAGCTTTGGTGGTTTGGGATGGGCAAATACCCTCCTTCAGAAAGGACCTTTTGTGTGCTCCTGTTCAGCACCAATTGCCAGTTGCTGCCTGTTTTTTTCCTGGAGAACTGAAAACATTTCCAAACTGGGGCAAAGAGGATCATTCCAGTGAGGTTGGTGGGTTCATGTTGTCACATTCCAAGGTTCAGACCTGTAGCTTGGACAGAGCAGATTCCTCTTTTAATTTCTTAATGAATTCTTATGCAGTGCAAAACCTCCCTGTCTTTGGGCACAAATAATATATGTTTTATCTTCTCTTTCTCTTTACTCAGTATATCTTTTTTTTTTATACAGTACTAGACATATGTAAATCAATATATATAAACTGTGGCAAAATTGTAAAGTACAAAACATATTGGAGTTGAAGAAAGTGTTTTGTTTTTTTTTTTTTTAACAAAGCAACAAAGCCACATATGCTTAAAAAAATATATTTGGAGGCGATTCAACGCTGTGGTTAATTTAACATTCAATACTTATTATGGCTTCAGAGTAGCTCCTGCTGATTGTTACAGGGCAGAATGTTTTTGTGTTCCCACAGGCACGGTGGGATGGCCTGACTGGGAGAATAACCTTCAACAAAAGTGATGGCTTAAGGAAGGATTTCGATCTGGACGTTATCAGCCTCAAGGAGGAGGGAACAGAAAAGGTAACCACATGTCTTTAAACAAACAAACAAACAAACAAACAACAAAACCTAACATGACAAAAAGCTAATTTGACAAGGGAGTAGGAAAGTCCATTCTCCTCAGCTTGAATCTCCCGTGCTTGGGGTAAAAAATAATCTCAAGATTATTTGAGTCAAGCATAAAACAGAACTACTTATATTGGTTTGCTATTTTGCAATGCATTCTGAGGTGTAGGGTAGGAATTTGGGACTGGCAACACTCATCTGATGGAGACAATAATTTTAAGGGCACATTATCTTCAGTTTTTGCTACTGCAACTCAGGATATTCAATTCATTTATAGAGACAGATAAATTTATATGGAGATATATAGAGATAAATGTGAGCCAGGGAAGAAAGGAAAGAAGGTACTTGAGTAACAACCTCAACAAGAGTTGAGATGTTGAAGATTCTCCAGGTTTGTGAGGTTAGATCAGTTCTTTTGCCCTTCCCCTGCAAACATGAGCTCTCCATGGGAACCACAGGGCTCCCTCCACTGCTGTGGAGGTGATGGGTGGTGGCTGCTGTGGGTGTCCAAAAAAACCCTCTCACAGGTGGCACCAGCAGCTCCTGGAGCTGCAGACAGTGCTCTGTGTACACTGGTTGGATTCTGAGTGATAATTCCTGCTGGGTTAATTGAGCCTCTAACTGTAATTGCTCCCACACAGCTCTCCAGACGGGCTCTCTTTTCATTTTTAATGAAGCGCTCTGTTTATTTCTCTCTGTACCAAGGCTGCTGGCGAGGGTTCTAAGCATTTATATAAAGTGTGGAAGAAGGTTTGTACGCAGACAGGTGATGCAAGAAACCTTTGGGCTGCGTCTGTAGGCTCAGCCTTTGGGTTTTGATTGCTACTCTCACATTGCAGTTTAGAGACGACGGTCTGAAAGCAGGAATTTTTCTGGTAGGATGAGCTTATTACATCTTAAAACACCGTAATTCCAAAGAGTAAAAAAAAAAAAAATCTTGGCAGGATTCAGCTTTTTCACCAAAAGGGGGGGGGTGTCAATTATTTTGCTTATTGGGGGCTGCGCTTTTCCCTGCTTTGAGTAGAGGCTGCAGCAAAATCAGTCCTTTTCTCAGCTGCTGTCCTCCCTGATTCACCTAAGATTCACCATGAGTGGTAAATTTAAACTGTTTTGGATGTGGTTTGGCATCAGCTGCAAGGGCTGTTTTAGTGTGCAGGGCTGGGGGTGTTTTGCCTCGCACAGAACGCTCAGGGCTGGCAGTGTTTGAGCATTATTTGCCTCGAAATTTTGATGAGTGTGTTATTAGCTCCTTACAGAAAATAATACAGATGATTAAGTGGGTGCTGCCATTCACTAACACATGGAAATTGGAGCTAAGCTTGTTTATGAAAGATGGAAATTACCCCAGGAATCTCATCCCTCTGCTAGCACGAGGTACTCAAAGTGGGAGTCAGAGACCAGCCCTGGGCACAGCTCCCCACTGGAGTTACAACCTGGGGTTGCTGTTCTGTAAGGAGGAGATAAAAACTACATCCACCAAGCTTAAAGTGTTCTGCAGTCGTGGGACAGGGATCTTTTATACTGCTTAGAATTGTATTTTGTACAGAGTTCCCACAGCTCTCATTATCCCCCACCCCTCCCTCAGACGTGGTTAAAAAAAAGGGGTTGGTTTTGTGTTGTTTTTGTGAGGGATTTTAATGCCCCAGAGTAGAACCATCCTACAGAGCTCTTTTTTGTGTTCTTATAAAGCACATACATCCTTAATAACCTTGTTTCAATCTCCAGTGGATCAGGCTAAGGCACAAAGGCCCCTCTTTCCCTCGTTACTGGTGAATAGATCATCCTACCTGACATGCAGAACCAATCTCCCTTCTGACTGTAGGCATTTCGTGTTATGCTGAATTGATTTAAACCAAATTACAGTCGGTTCAGAGCACAGGCTTGCTGAGGAGGGCCACATGACACCTCTCCAGCTTGTCACTAAACTGCAATAAATCCCCTGGGTTCCCCACAGTGATGTACAACCTCGACCTCGTTCTTCCAGCGCCCCTCCGACCTCCTCCATCCCCCTAACCAAGGGATGTGGTCTCCTGATGTATTTTGTATGCCCTGTGACTGTGTTGCTCAGTGTCCCCTGTGGTTCTTCTCCTCCTCCCTGCTGCCAGCCAACCAAAGCCTCTCAAGTCAGCAACAAGGGGCAGAACGGCTCCTCCAGCCTGGTGCAAATCCAAGGATAACCCCGGTTATCGACTGTATTCCTGGCACAGGCCATCATAATATCCAATATTTTATTTCCTGTGTACCTTTTGGATCAGTTTCCCAACCTGATCTGGTTTTGGAAACAAAGGGAATGACTGACAAACGCTTGATATGAATTAATTTTTTTTTAAGAGGAAGCAGAATTTGTGGAAAAAAAGGTTTGTGAAAGGCACCCAGGGACACAAATCCAAAGTCTGTTTGAATTGGTGAGTTATTACCTCAAACCCACACTCAGCAGGTACAAAGTGCCTGAGCCAGCTCCTTGCCTGGAGTTCTCTCACATCAGCCCTCGGCCACGCTGTGCTTGTAAATCCAAAGGCAAAAATACTGGAGATGCTTTCAGGCTCCATACAAGTAAATATTTATCTCAGCAAATCAACATGGTTGTAATTTCTGCCGCCACAAGGTGCTGAAATCACAAAGACATTTCCCTTGAAGCTTTGGATTGGGCATTAAATAGTGGAATTCTTCACTGTCTCTGGGGCTAGAAAGGAGTTTGCCTTTGGCCACTCATATTTGCTGAACAAATCCTGCTCAGTGTGTGAAATGGTATCGCCTCTGTCACAAACAGCAGTCAAGGAATGACAGAATAATCTTTGCTAAACCTGCCGAAGGCACAGCGGAAGCAAAAGGCCAAGTGCATCCATCAATCTGCCTCAAAGTATTTACTCAAGCTTTTAGTCTGTTGTATCAGAAGAGAGAGGTCTTGCCTTATGTCTCAACTCTGCCATTTGCAAAATTTAAAAAAACAAACCAACCCTTACACTCTCAAGGGTTTATGCAGTTGCATTTTGCAGTCCATTCCCTGTGTTTTCTGATTTTGGTGTCGCTGCCTCGCTCAGACCTGCAGCTTGTCCCCCTCCTCCAGCGTTTTGTCTCTCCCTGTGGTGCCCAGAGCCACTGCGGGGAGCGTCTGGGGAACACTCTGGGGCCTCTCACCCGCTTCTCTCTGTGCAGATTGGGGTTTGGAACTCATACAGTGGCCTTAACATGACCGACAGCAACAAGGACAGATCCACCAACATCACGGATTCCTTGGCCAACCGGACCCTCATCGTCACCACGATTTTGGTAAGGCTGGCAGGGCTCTCCAGCAGCACCTTCACCACCTCCACCCCTCACACCAGCCTTGCTCTCCTCCACGCTAAACACTGCTGTGCAAAACCGGTCTGTTCTCAGGCAAATGTTTTGATTTAGGCTCAGAGTCGACATAAAATCTGTCCGCAAGATTGATTCAAAAATAGCCCACTGCCAGCGAAAGACTCTCAGGAACCTCTGCCTCCAAAATTGCTTCAATATTTCACAGACAAACCCTGTGTACTTTTTCTTCCCAGAAGAGTTAGCACACACAAATACTCAGCTTTGTAGTCAGTTCTTATACATCCTTCTCTTTTTTGCTGAAAATGAGACAAATAGGACTGAAAGAGAGTAGCAAAGGCTGGACAGACAGATTGAGTTATGCCCTAACTGTGATGAATAGAAAATATGCAGCTGGGTCTTTCTGCCCTGTGCTTGCTGCCTGCCCAGCAATGCCACTTCTTTCAATTATTCTACCTAATTCCTCAGGAGGAGGGACAGAGCTCAAAGCCTCCCTTCTACACTGCTTTTCTATTGCCAGAGGCCTTTTTACCACATTAAACTGCAGCAACCTGCTTGCCCAGATCTTCTCCTACCCAAAATCCTTGAAAGGGGAAAGCAACAAGGTGCTTTGCACCCTACCTATGCTGCTCTCCACTCCCTTGTGTGAAGGCCTGTTCCACTCAGGGATATTTGCTACATTTGAAGTTTTTTTAATCAATAAAGGTTTATTTCCCACGGAATATAAAATGTTATGTTCCCCTTATGGATTCTTTTTCTGTTATTTAGACTCCCCTCTCCTCCTGTACCCCTTCCTGTCCCCCAGAGTGTGGCAGTGTAGGGTCCAGATCTTGGGTGTGATTTTGGAGCTGCTGAGCTGTAGTTAAAGCTCCTGGGGGCCATGAATGGTCAGCCCCACTGTTAACAAACTCATTCAGTGAATTTATTAACACACCTCAAACAGCTTTTAACGGATGCAGTAAATTACTGGTTTCCATCCACTTGCAACCCATTTAGAAAATATTAATGTGACGCAGACAAACTGATATAATCTAAACCAAACCTCATGTCTCCTCCTACATGTCTACTGTCTTTTTCTACAGGAAGATCCCTATGTTATGTACAAGAAGTCTGACAAGCCCTTGTATGGAAATGACAGATTTGAGGGTTATTGCCTGGACTTACTCAAGGAGCTGTCAAATATTTTGGGCTTCATCTATGAGGTCAAACTAGTTTCTGATGGCAAATATGGAGCCCAGAATGACAAAGGAGAGTGGAATGGGATGGTCAAAGAGCTCATAGATCATGTAAGACTGAACCCTTCTCTCTTTATTCTACTTTCACCTGTGGTATTTTGTATATAACCAGCCCAACTCAGGTCTTTGCTTTAGTTTTTGTATTTTAGAGCCACTTTATTGCCACTAATTTTATGATATTATTATATTATACTATAGTAGAGTCTTTATGCCCACTTTTCACAGTAGCAACATCTGAACCGGCAGTTTGAAGGTGTGGGGGGAACCTCCAGCAGTAGCAGGTGCTGAGCTGGCACATCCTACCCATCCCTCGGCTGCAAAATCCACCGGTGGAGGCTGAAATTCCCCCTTCCCCATACCCTGTGGTGCCTCTGGTCTGCACACATGGCAGTCCCAAATGCCCCTCTGCCTTGCAGAGAGAGGAAACAGAGTTACCATGCCGCCAAAATACCCCAGAAACGTTGCCTTTTCTCGCACGCCTCGGATTTTTAATCAAATTTAGTTTAATTTTCAATACTGGGGGAAGAAAGGGAGGGAATTGTTTCATTGTTGAGCGTGAAGGGGAATGAGTGTTCTCCCATCTGTGTTTTCAGAAAGCTGATCTGGCTGTCGCTCCTCTCACCATCACCTACGTAAGAGAGAAAGTCATCGATTTTTCCAAGCCCTTCATGACTCTGGGAATCAGCATCCTGTACCGGAAGCCCAACGGCACCAACCCGGGTGTTTTCTCCTTTCTGAACCCTCTTTCTCCTGATATTTGGATGTATGTCCTCCTAGCCTGCCTCGGGGTCAGCTGTGTCCTCTTTGTCATTGCAAGGTAAGCCCAAGACGTGGGTTTCGGATGCGTCCGCACTAACCACCACCTCTCCTCCCGTAGGTGTTGGGCTCTGGGGACTACAGAGGGCATAAAAAATATAAAACTACCCTAAGTGTTTTATCCCTAAAGTCCTAAAACATCATGTTCTGCAAGGTCCCTCGGTATTTTCGCATCCACACTGCTGTCACTTCTATGCGTGGCGACGTGGTGAGATTTTGCTTTCCTTAAGGGCTGAAGGGAGAGGAATACGGGATTTTTGTTGGCACACCCCACCTCTGTGTTGAAAAGCAGTTTATGTGACTTGCATGTAGGCACTTCTGCCTTCCACTCACAGTGCACACAGTGGAAAGGTTAACATAAGAGAATGTGAATGTATTTATGCCAAAGGATTTTAATTAGTTCAGCTAATCCCCCCCCCTCACCATTGAAAATGCAAGATAAGGTGGTTGGGAGGCTGAGGGGACACTCTCAAGGTGAAGCACAGCCAAGGCTCTGCCCGGGGTTCACTATTCCTGCCACTGGAATACTCTAAACCAGCAGGTAAAAAGCACATACACAGCACTCTTCCAAATAAACCCAAAGCTTGTAACTCTCTCCAAGGCTCACCACAAAGTTTCTGGACTAGTGGGCACAGTCACACGTCCAGTGGGCCAGCAGAGAACTCTGTCACTGAGCTTTCCCTTGAAAACTCCAGACAGCTGATGTGGTTTCACAAAGTGGGTACAAGACACTTCCCTTGCCCTCAGAGACCGCTGGAAAGGCGGTTGCTTGAGGGCTTTGAACAGGAGCAAACCAAGCATGAAAGAAAATGAACTTAGAAACACTTGTCAGAGGTTTTGCCGTTTCAGGCACGCTATTTTTTTGTACTCCTGAAAAACACCCAGACTCTGAGCTGGCATAGTTATTCAGATAGTGGCCTTGGAATTTAATTTCCAACTGTTTTTTTTATTTTTTAATTTCAGCCTATCCTTCATTTTTTCATATGAAATATAAGAAGAAAAGTAATGTATTATTGGAAGCCCACTACACATTCACATCACAGCAAAATAGGGATGGGGCACTTCTCCTATGGGGAAAGGCTGAGAGAATTGGGAATGTTCAGTCTGGAGAAGAGAAGGCTCCAGGGTGACCCTAATTGTGGCCTTCCAGGACCTAAAGGGAGCCTGCAAAAATGATGGAGAGAGATTATTTACAAGGGTCTGGAGTGACAGGAAAAGGGGGAATGGCTTCAAACTGACAGAGAGTAGGATTAGATGGGATATTAGGAAGGAATTGTTCCCTGTGAGGGTGGGGAGGCCCTGGCACAGGTTGGGCAGAGAAGCTGTGGCTGCCCCATCCCTGGAAGCGGGATTTGCCTTTTTTTCTTTTTTCCCTTTAAATCACTGAGAGTGCGAAGGAGGAGAAAGGAATTACGATCCAGTTGACCTGGTGGTGATCAGTCAGAGGTTGGACTTGATGATCTTAGAGATCTTTTCCAACCTAAATGATTCTGTGAAATAAAGAAGGAGGGGCCATGGGTTAAGTTACCAGTTCTGGCCCCAGGTAAAAAGAGGAGTTTATCCATCCCTGGCAGCTGTGGGGCTGTGTACAATTAGTCATGACTTCTCACGAGCTCTTAGTGGCTCGCTGTGCCATAAATAATAACTCCTACTGTACTCAAATCATGATCTCACTCATGACTAATATTAAATCTGCTCGACTCTGACAGACTGACTTTTCTGCAGTAGTGTGCCAAGGCTGAGACTATCCCACAACCCTCAGCACAGTGGAAGGGAAAACAAAACCCAAGTTACCCTCAGTGCTTCTGTTTTTTAAAATAAGGGCATCAGCTTTGGAAGAATAAATAGATATCAGGGTGCTTGGTCTGCTCACAGACACATGGCCAGGAGCAAAGCAAAAGGAAATGAACCATGGTAAAAAAAATCATTGCCTATTTGCTTTTGTTTCTTGGCTGTTAAAAATTGCCCCCAAACACAGCCTTTTGGTAAATCCATAGGTTTGCCCTTTTAAAAAACTGTTAAAAACCAGTAGTTCCAGGAGCATCATAACCAGTGAAGCCCAATTTCCTCACAGATCTCTGTCTCCTGGTGGGTTGTGATCACCAGTTGAAGTCAGTTTGTGTGTTCATTTGCTTTTCCTGCAGCTGGAGGATTTACAGGGGATCTGATTAACAGGCACCTAAGGAATTGTGAGCTCATCCTGCAGCTCCTCTCCTGGTGGGGCTCCTGCTGCAGTGTTTCACAACACAATAAATAACCTCTGAGGCCTCTGCCTATTCATCAGACATGGCTAAATTAAATGGCTAAAATTAAGGGCCAATTAATGGCTAAAATTAATGGCCAATTAATGGCTAAAATTAGCTAAAAGGCTCACATGTCACTAGAGGTACAGACACCACACACACGTTCACAACACACAGCACAAACCCAGGCCTGCAACGACAGAAACGGATCAAGTAGAAACAACAGGCAAACAGATCAATAGATGTCATTTTTATAACCCACCTCTTTTAGGAAAAGAGAAAAAGAATGCCCCAGTTCAGCAGAAACCATCATTTTCTGAATGCTTAGGTTTTTTCTGTCACAAATACTCTCCTTGAGCCGATGCCTAAAAGCAGTGCTCTGTTAAAATGCATCTGTGGAGGTTGAAGAAGGACACAAAATTGGGTTCACGTGTCATGTTAATTTAGATTAACAAATTTTAAGCTAAGCCCTTCTTGCTGCCCACATCTAGACCTGCTCACGTCTCCAAATGCATCAAGATTTCTGTAAGATTTGCAAAGTCTTTCGGCAAATATTGCTTAGATTGGTTCTAGGGACCTCAGGAACCATCCACTTTTTAGCACTGCCACAGTAAATTAAACAGTTAACTGTACTTTTCCATCAGTTCATGGAAGACAAATACCTGGGAATAATTTCCATAGACTGGGATAATCTTCCTGTCATTTCTTTTGACTTTTCAGCAGCTGAATAATTTCTCATTTGTCTCTGAGCCTTGCGAAGCCCTGTAATAGTTACATTAATTTTGAAACTCAAACACTGAAGTTTTTATCACTGTGAAGGGTTGCAGACTGACAAAGCTCTGTTCCAAGTACGCTGACAGTGAATGAACAAGGTGGATTTTGTGCCAAAATTTCCTGCTAATGCCATGTCAGCTGTGCTGCTACGTCAATGAAGGGAGAGCCAAGTAGCTGAGGTGAATAATGCTACACAGAGCACGTTGCTAAAAGGGTGCTTAGGTGACCTTGAGCATCTCATCCTTATCAGAAACCTCAGCACAGCTATTGCTGAAGTGGGAGGAAACCATGGGAAAAAGGCCAGGAAAACAGAAGGTCTGAGCAGTGGAATAGAGCTGAACTGTAAACCAGGCTCTTCCTATAGCTCAGCACAGCAATACGAACACGAGCAGAAAATCAGCTTTTGTTTCGAGTTGGAGAGGAGATCTATACCCTACTAACACATTAAAACACATACCCAGAGCTGTAAAAATCTTTCCAGTCTGGCAGAAAGAGTTTTGCTGCCAGAATTTAATTGCCACTTTCCGGCAATGGCTGTTTTGCTCTTTCCACCATCGAGGTGTTTGTATCCAGCCTGCTGAGAGTGGTGGCTGCCTGAAACTCTGCAAGATCCCAGCCTTGGGGCTTCCCAGGTGGGTCAGGCAGAGTTATTTACTGCTCTTGGTGTTCTCTTTGAGCACTCTGGGATGCTGGGGGGTGGAACTCTTCACTCCTGTGGCTCTCAGCAGCCTGCTGGTCCTAATTGTGGGGCTCTTGCTAAGGATGTGTTTCCCCAGGTGTGCATGAAGTGAGCTGGGAACGGTGTGGTTACTCCACAGCACCTGCTTCCATTATTCTGGCATAAATCTGAAACGCATAACTTGGTAACTGCTTTTCTTTTAAGGGGTGTGTGCAGAGCTGTTGTGTCTTGGACCCGAAAACCGCGTGTTTTGTCATGGTTTTTGAGACTCTCGCTGTGGTGGCGGTGATATTGTTGCAGCTGATGGCACCCTAAGCTACACTCTGCTCCAATTAGTGGGGTTTGTTATCACAAAAGAGAGCTCATTGCTTCAGCTGAGCAAACTCAATGCTTATTTATATTGTTGGAACAGTAATTGGAGTGTATGGGCGTGATATTTGCCAAGGGTATTCCTAAACTTCAGGAGGAGTGTGCAGGAAGCCACGCAGCAGTGGGAAGCAACAGCAGGCAAAGGTGCCTCGGGGAGAAACGACCCTTTCACGTGGTCCTGAGAGGTGCTGTGCAGAGCAGGAGGGGCACAGTGTGTAGTTAGACCACAGTTCTCCCACTGCAGGCAGAAATCTCTCCCAACAATGACAAAACCACGCGTCCCTGAGGCTTTCTGTACCTCTGCAGTTGCCCCCAGGTCGCCTTCCAGTGCTGGGCAGCCTTTTGTTCAGGGAGAGGATGTCTGCTGGATGCACCTCGACCACAGGCAGCTCACTCTGGCTGCCTTTAGAGGGCTGCTACACCTTCCCAACTCCTAAACCCTCTCCCAAGGAGCAGCTACGCGGCTTCCAGTTGTCCCCCCACCGGGGGCCCTGCAGATGCGGAGCAGGCAGGGAGTGGCTGCAGCCTCTCCCCCTCGAGGGCTCTACACAGGAATAGCCCTGCTCTAGATGCAGGAGTAGCCCTGCCCTAGATCCAGGCACGAGGCAGATGTCCCTGAGGGACACCCTTTCAGCTGAGGTTTCCCCCTCCTCGTGTCCTTTCTGCCCCTCCCCACCCTCCCCACGCGGCGCGGTTTTCTCGGCAGGCTCGCTGTGTGTACTCGCTGTTTACGGACTCTTTCTGTTGACTGCCACAGGTTTACACCCTACGAGTGGTATAACCCCCACCCGTGCAACCCAGACTCAGACGTGGTGGAAAACAATTTTACTTTACTAAATAGTTTCTGGTTTGGAGTTGGAGCTCTCATGCAGCAAGGTACACCGGTTACACTTCGTTATCGCACACGTCCCACAGTCTGCTCAAGGGCTTCTGTGCTGGTAAACTCCACCCCACCCCACCCCCTGTAAATGCAACTCATACTGTAAAACCTGATCTCAGGGAGGCTGAGGATAGAAGAAAAGGAAGAGAGGAGGATGTGCCACTGCACACCGGGAGCAGGCACAGGAGGGGAACCTGTGGAACCCAGAGCAGGAGGAAGGAGGGGAAGCGTCTGAGAGAAAGGGGAGCAGGCAGGGCCAACACGGGAGTTCCTGGAGCTGAAACGGGAAATAATTGCAGGAGGGCTATGAGGTGCCCCGTGCTGAAGTTGAGTTTGTTGGTATAAGAGGTTTGGCAACAGGAGAATGTTGGGCTCCCTCCCAGCAGTAACCAGCCTTAGCCACCCTAGAAAAACTGTTCTATCTGCCAAACAAAGGTGCTCTTTCTTCAGAAGGGTTGTTAAGTTTGCTGGCACTTGTCAAACTCGTTGTTCAAAACCAAACCCAACCCCCTTTTTTTTTTTTTTTATGGCTTTTCTGCAGGTATGAGCCCCATCCTTCTGTAAAGGCATCCAACCCTAGGAGCCTTACCCCAGTCACAAGTCCCTGTTGCTGATGATTTTGGAAACAGCTGACATTTTACTCAGTTGACAAGGAAGGGCAGTGAAGTTTACTCCATGTGGGAAGTCAAACAGATATATGCAAAAAACACACTTGTTTATGTTCTAAGGTTTCCAGTTAAATCACTATTCACCAAAACTGGGCTCCACTGAAAGGAATGAAAATATTTTCTGACAAATATTTCAAGTTGAATCAAAGCTGAACAAAAAAAAACCAAAAAACAAAAAACAAAAAACAATCCACAAAAAAAACCCTCACCTCACAACAACCACCAAAAAGGCAATCTGGAGGAAAGTCCAGCAGTACCTTGGTATTAAATTCCTAAGCATTAAAGTAAAGAATATAAAACCATCTCTACATTCATACAGGTACAGTTTATTCTTTCCTCTTTAACAGACATGAGTAGCAGCGAAAAAAAAAAAAACAACAAACAAACAAACATGAGGAGGATTTTTTTCCTAGCTCTGGTAGAGAATGAAGTTGGTATTGAACCCAGGATGCACTTGCTTTTAGTGGTGCACCAATGTATTGAGAGGACACAGAGCTTCCCCACAGAAATTACTCTGAAGGAGGTTGGATGAAAGAAGAGCATTTCTACATCGCTTTTTTGGGTTTGTCTGCCTTCCAAGTTACCAGTGAAACACAGGCTGAGGTTTTACAGTATCAGGCAGGTGTGTGTATCCAACTGTGACTGCCCCTTTGTGTGAAAGTGCCCCAGGATTCTGTGTTTCCATGTACTGCCTTTTTTTGGAGTTTACCATCATCCACAGCAAACTGTGGGATGCAGTGTCTGCTCGTTACCACTACCTTGGGTACATGACAGTCAGCCCCAACCAGACTCTGCTTGTCTTTTAAGAAGATTAAAACAAACAAACAAACCAACCAAAAAAAAAAATCAAATAAAGAAAAGGAAAGAAAGAAAGAGAAAAAACCCCAAACATTTGTAAGGCAACACAAATGTTTCCATGTACAAACTTGTGGTGCTGTGTGACTGTCTGTGCATCATTGTCAATGTGAAGAGTTTGGACATGATGGGAATGGTTGGGAAACTCTGCGTCCAGTGTTGGGCTCTTTCCTGTTGGCAGCAGCTGCTCGTTGTGCTTGATTGGAAGCCACTTATTTGTTTTTGTTTTTTTTTTTTCTAAATTTTAAAATGTGATGATCAGACTTTCTCTTTTCTACAGAGCGTGAGCAAAGTCTGGATCAGGATTGGCTGTCATGTCTGCCATAAAAAGGCACTAGAGAGACTTCAGCAAGTATTGTCTCTGCCCCCGAGTCTTGCTGGCAACCTTTTTCTTTAGATGCTGCTTCCCCTGTTTTCCCCTGGAAGTCTTGGATGTGTTATTCATATTCTGAAAGCATCCAAACAGGGCACATTTCATCCAATTCATTCACAGAAATTAGAACTTGCAGAAAGGAAAGCTTTCCCCTCAGAGCCCCAGTTGAGCCAAGGAGTGGGTCAGCCCAGGAGCAGCTGGTTCAGGAGAGTGTGCAGGGTGAAGGGAATGAGCATGGATCATGTCCTGTCCTGATCCCACAGCGTGGGAAGCAGGAGAGAAGGGGAATCTGCCCCTTTGCCCCTTCAGGTGAGATCCCACCTGCAGAGCTGCCTCCAGCCCTGGGGAACAACACAGGGACGTGGAGAGAGTCCAGAGAAGGCACCAAAGCTGCTCCAAGGGCTGGAGCTCCTCTGCTCTGGAGCCAGGCTGGGAGAGCTGGGGGGGTTCCCCTAGAGAAGAGAAGGCTCCAGGGAGATATAACTGTAACCTTCCAGGACCTGAAGGGACACTGTGAAAGATGGAGAGGGACTTTTTACAAGGGCCTGGAGTGACAAGACAAGGGGGAATGGCTTCCCACTGCCCGAGGGCAGGGAGAGATGGGATATTGGGAAGGAATTCCTGGCTGTGAGAGTGGTGAGACCACACATCAGAGAAGCTGTGGCTGCCTCATCCCTGGGAGGGTCCAAGGCCAGGTTGGACGGGGCTTGGAGCAACCTGGGCTACTGGAAGGTGTCCCTGCCCATGGTGGGCTCTGGTCCCCCCAAACAGTCACTCACTGCATAATTAGCAGGCTGGGGGTTCAAAGCTCAAGTGAACTGAATGTGTTCTGCTGCTTTCCCACAAACCATATTTTGCTGTGGGAGATCACAGGAGGTTTGGTGCCTCACCCCACAAGGGCAGCACTCAGGGCTTCTCCACCTCCTCTTGTGCAGCACTGACAGATTTCAGGGCTGCTGGTTAAGGGGGTCTGCAAGGTACCTGCTGCTGTGCATTCCCAGGATGTCAGAGTGTATGTCAGGGTCAGGTCCAAGAGCAGAAATTCTATTTGTGTCTCTGTCTAAGCTTAAAAGCAATAACACCTTCAGGATGACCTGAATCAGCACTCCTAGAAGCAGTTTGTGCAGGTCAACCCCAACTTAGAAATACAACGACATTACAGAATACACCAACAATACCAAAAAAAAAAAAAAATTCATTGTATTTTAAAAAAATCTATTCTGCAAAGCTAGAAAGTACAGCAGACCACAAATATAAACCCAGACAGAGCTACAGCTCTGGAAACAAGTACATTTGGCCTTGAAAACCTAAAGTGAGAGTTTTTGCTTTTAGACTGCTCTCACAGCAGTTGACAGTTCTGTCAACCCTTGGGCTATGCTCAGCTTTGACTTTAAGGAAGTCTCTATGTGTTTACAAAGCTAAGTTAGATGTGTTTGCTGGTTGTTTGGGAAGTTTTTACCTTTTCAGTCTCTGCCCCAAAAGTCACGTTCAAAGTTTTTGCAAGGTCTGAAAATACTCTCTCCAACAGGTTGAAATTTCTTGCAGAACTCACGAAATAGTTGGGGAGAGATAATATATCACCATGATTTTCCAGGAATACAAATACGTTTGTCACATCAAAAGCTTTACTGTGCTGAGATCTCCCTTCACAGGCACTTAAGTGTTTTCCTAAGTCCATCCTTCATCAGGAAAATAATTATGCAAAGGCTTAAGTTTGAGGTCAAAAGGCTGCCTAAGAGCTTTGCTGAATCAGATTCTGATATCCCACACAATCAGGGGAGCTCAGTGGGGATGCACCTAAAAGAAAGAGCACAAAACTTGTATCAGAGTGCTTAGAAATACTTGTGTGCCTTAAATACAGGAGATCTGGGCTGTTTAGAGAACATTTCAGTGCTGCCCTGTGGGGTTTTATGGCAATGACACTTTAAACAATGCACTTCAGAGCCAAGGCAGCTTTTTTTTTACTTGGGAAACTCGGAGAATCTGAGACACTGCTTGAGGATTTAACATTTGAACAGAAGCAAAACGTAAGGTGTGACCTGCAGGCAGATCTGCTAAACCCTTCTCAGCAACAAGGAGTGTTAAATACACGGGCCAAAACTTTGCCCTGTAGATCCAAAGGATGTGCCCGTTCACCCCCTGAACTCTCAAATGTGAAGCTCACATTAATAAAAAGAGGTTTTCTGGGGCTGGAGCTGAGGTTCTCACAGCTGGTGAGTTCAGTGGGACTGCACTGATCTCCCTGTCTCTGCTCAGATACGTCAATAGGATGCACAGGGCAAGTTTCTCCTGTAAGATGTTTCTGTCAGGCAGCCTGTAGGATTCTGCTAAAGATCCTTGGTTAAAAATTGATTCCAGTGTGGAGGCAAAAAGGGATTCAGGAAACAGCCCAAAATACTAGGATAGCCTGCTGGGGGTGGCAGAGGTTAATATTACAATGATGGTTAGCTCAGGGATGTAACGGGGCTTAGACCCAAGGATAATTCCATTTGTCATGTATCATGGCATACATCCCTTTCACAGTGTGTTCCCATTATAAATGTTAGCTGTGCATCTGTGAGATTATTGTTTAAACCATTTTATCATCCTGCAGCTCATAAAAGCATTCTGTGCCTTAAAAAAAAACAGTCTGTGGCATCAGGAAGGGCATCTTTCAGCATCATTTTAATACGATTGTTTTGGTGGTATCGTAACAGGATCAGAGTTGATGCCCAAAGCTCTTTCTACCAGAATAGTTGGAGGAATATGGTGGTTTTTCACCTTAATCATAATCTCATCCTATACTGCCAACCTGGCTGCCTTCCTGACCGTGGAGAGGATGGAATCGCCCATCGATTCGGCAGATGATTTGGCAAAGCAAACCAAGATAGAGTACGGGGCTGTTAGAGATGGATCCACAATGACCTTCTTCAAGGTAAGACGGCACCAGCCGGGCCTGGCCGGTCGGAGACTCCCCCAGGCGCTCCAGGAAAACTGGTGAGCAGGAATCACAGCCCTCGGCAGGACTGGCAGGATTAGGTAGATATCAGCATTTACCCAAACCCAGTAGCAGGAAAGTTGGGAGTTTTTTTCCCCTGAAGCACATGGAAAAACAGTCTGGCTGTGAGGGCCAAACCCACCTGCCTGTGATGGGGGGGGACCTGAAGGGAGCCTGGGGATCTTCTCCTCCAGGTTGCTTCAGGGTGGGATCTCATTTTCTTCCAGCCACTTGGCTGGAAAATTCTGCTTCACCTTCTGAAAGTCACATTTGCACACGGATAATACTGCCAGCAAATCCAAATGCAACTTTATTTGTCCCCTTTTTTAAAGTGCTCCCTGGTCAACATTACACAGACTACCAATAGAAGGGCCTCATAAACACATGAACACATCAGTAAGTAAAAGACAGTTTTCTGTGGCTAGTTGCTTTGTAGATATCTGTGCTCTTTTTTTTTTTCCCTACTTATTAGTATTAATTACCTGCAAAATGAATAATCCCATAAAATGTCAACGTAAAAGCCACCAAGCTATAAATACAGAATACATGCCCAAAAATCCTGTGACAGTCAGAATTAATTAGCAGCTCCATCAGCAGTCTCAGCAGGGAAGTTAAGCACGGGATGAACTGGTGTCAGGCTTCTCCCTGGAGCATCTAAGGATGGTGTTTGTAGACAGTCAAACATGCAGTGCCTTTGAAGGGGATCAGACACTGTGGGGAAGCAGCATTTGGGCAAAATAACACGAGCTGCTCCAGCCTGAGCCCCTGCCCTGCTTTAACCAGAAACCCTGATGAGGCAAAAAGGAATAACATTCATCCAGAATGTTTCAATTCTATGACACATAGATATGAGGGTCCAGCAGAGGCCACGAAGATGATGAGGAGTCTGGAGCATCCCTCTGGTGAGGAGAGACTGTGGGAGACTGTGGTTGGTCTGGAGAAGAGAAGGCTGAGAGGGGATCTCATCAATCCACACAAATATCTCCAGGGGCTGTCAGAGGAAGGTTCCAGACCCTGTTCAGTGGTGCCAGTGACAGGACGAGGAGCAGTGGCCATAAACTGAAACACAACAAGTTCCCCCTCACCATGAGGAAGATCTTCTTTCCATGGAGGGTGGCAGAGCACAGGAACAGCTGCCCAGGGAAGGGTGTGGAGTCTCCCTGTCTGGAGACATTCCAAACCCACCTGGAAGAGTTCCTGAGTCACCTGGGTGACCCTTCCTTGGCAGAGAGGTTGGACTGGGTGATCTCCAGAGGTCCCTCCCAACCCCAGCTATTCTGGGATTCTGGGATTTTGTGCAGTCTGTCCCTGCTGGAGTTGCCCAGGGTGATCTGCCCTGGTAATGGCTCTCCTGTGGCTGAATAGAAATGTTTCTGTGCTCAAAGAAAGGCACAAACTCCACTGGTTTCCATTATAGCCAGTCCTTGAAATGATGAGCTGACATCTCCACTGAGATGGAAACCCACCTGGAGATATTCCTTGAAGCTTTGTAAGGCAAGTACCAGACTCTCCTTAGGAGTACAAGGCAGCAGGAATCAGCTGTGCCATCTTCTGAAAGACTCTGGGAAAATCCCTTGAGCTGAGAGCTCTTCCATGCCCAGAGACAGTCACTGCCATTGATATTCTGAAGTCAAACCCAGCATCAGAGATAAAACCTCAAAACCTCTTGTTTCCATGTGGTTTTTAGAGGAAATAGCTTCTCAAGTTCAAAATGAGAAGTTCAAGCAAATTCCTGGAGCTGTTTTCAGCTTTACACCGATTTCTTTTTGCACCGTTAATCCCTCAGGCTGAAATATGTGTAGGCTTAAAAGAATGTATAGGCCTTCAAAAGAAATATTTCAGATGAGATGATTAAATATTTATACACTCCACATACTGCCTTACTTGTGCCCAAAATACAAGTGTACACAAGCACAAGGGAAAGTACACTAATTTTGTACAGAAATTGGGGATGGATTCTTCCCTGGCAGAGGGAAGGTGACACAGTGAAAGATGCACGAAAAATACGATTTCCCACACTTGTAAACACACACAGCACAAACAAACAAATAGAAGGTGTTTTTGTTTTTGTTGCAGAAGCCCCTGCAGACCCTCACAAGGTTAGGAGCTCTTTGTGCTGCCCAAAACTAAAAATAAAAAATCCCGGAGCGGGTCTCTGTACAATAAACGCGACAGGTACCTCTTTATGCCAAGGGAAGACTCTGCTCTGTGAGGCACAACTGTGCCTCCCTCAGACTGTAAAATACTGCATATACTTCCTGAGCTAAGCACAAACACAGGGAGAGACTTGGGAATTAGGAGAAGGCAGGAGCAGGGATTTCTGGGCAGCACTTACTCCATCCCCGCACCCCACCTGTGTTACAGCATATTTAAGGAAAAAAAGCACCTTTGCCATTACATTCTAGGGGTAACTCAGCCCCTTTTTTTTGGGAGCTCTGGGGCCCTGACCTGCCCTGGGGGCACCCCCAGTGCCCAGGGGTTCCCAAAAGCCACGAAGCTGCGACTCGAGGGCTGGAGGAGCTGAGCTGGAGTGAAAGGATCTTCCCATGACACAGGACCTCTCCTGTGATCCAGGCTGTGGAGTATTTGACAAGTGCAATCTGGGTGCTGGTGTGACTGTCTGCCCTCCTTTCCCTCCCCCCCCACTCCCTGCCAACCCCTTCCCCTTCAGAAATCCAAAATCTCCACGTACGAGAAGATGTGGGCGTTCATGAGCAGCCGGCAGCAGACGGCCCTGGTGAAGAACAACGACGAGGGGATCCAGAGGGTGCTCACCACGGACTATGCCCTGCTCATGGAGTCCACCAGCATCGAGTACGTGACCCAGAGGAACTGCAACCTCACCCAGATCGGGGGGCTCATCGACTCCAAAGGCTACGGCGTGGGAACCCCCATCGGTAAGGGGCTTCTGGGCACAGCTGGGGTGGAGCTCGCCCAGAAGCTGAGGATGGCCTTTTGAATCGGTCCTGGGCTCCTGGAAATGGGACAAGGGGGGATGGCTTCACACTGGCAAAGCCAGGGTGAGGTGGGATATTGGGAACGAATTCTTGGCTGTGAGGGTGGGGTTGCCCAGAGAAGCTGTGGCTGCCCCATCCCTGGAAGTGTCCAAGGGCAATTTGGAACAACCTGGTCTAGTGGAAGGTGTCCCTGCCCATGGCAGCAGAGTGGAATTGGATGATCTTTAAGGTCTCTTCCAACCCAAACCATCCTGTGATTCTGTGATCCTACGGAACAGGAAAACATCTGGCTCCCCAGGGCTGATTATTCCCAAGCACAACAGCACAGAAAACTGACACACTTTTGAATTCTCTGCGATCAGGAGACCTCAAAAAGGGCACTGGATATGCCAAAAAAAAAGGTCTACTGGAAAGAGGTCAGAGAGATTGATGCAGAACCTTTCAGCTGATTCCCACTGTTCTTATGTGTTGCTTTGGGGTCATGAAATGAATCAGAAATTCATCTCCTTTCGTTTCTCTTTGGGGTGCAGATGGAATTATAGAATGGCTTGGGTTGGAGGGAACCTTAAAGATCATCTCATTCCACCTCCTGCCGTGGGCAGGGGCACCTTCCACTAGCCCAGGTTGTGGGTCTGGTTCATCCATTGCTTGGTAGAGCCGATATAAATAAGGGAGAAGCACCCCCTACACTTTGAACTGTTCATTCTTTTTGCTGCTGAGCAGCTCAGACTGTTCACACAGACAACATTTACAGTGTGGTTTTTTTCCACTGGCTTTGTGAGCACAGCCTTCACACCCCGAGGAAAATGATACAAAAAGCTAAAATCCTGAAGAAAGACAAATGTATGGCAAGAGTTTCACTGCAGTTATAAAGCTGCCACACTTTAAAGCAAGAACAATGAAGGAATAATTGGAACAGATGGTAATCCTCAGAGAGAGTGCATCCATTGGAAATAACAGCTGTGAAATATATTTATAAGATGTTTCTTGTATGATAAATGCACCTTTATTTTTTCTTAAGGAAGCCCAGCACAATTCAAGGGAATAGATACCCCCAAGCACTGTGGAATAATTCAGTACCATCCAGCATCTTATAAAGGATTGATTTCATGAACAAGATAAACCTTCCACTGTTCAGGTGGACCCCAAAGGCTCTGTTATTTTTCTCACAGCATTGCAGAGTACTGATTGTAGAGGCTTCATGGAAAATAAAAGAGACAAAAAAGGCTTGTCTGTGACCCTTGGCATCAAAGTTTCAGCAAGTCTTAACTGGTCTCCTGAAGTTGTTCCTTCAGGAGAATGTACAGCCCCAGGGCCAGGGTTTCCAGGAGCAAAATATGCCTTGCATTCCAAAATTTGTGTGAATGATCTGGATATTATTTAACGGCTCCCAGTGAGACAGGAAAGGGTAATTTTTGAAGGTTTTCCAAATCCAGTATCACTGTGAGTGCTGATGCAGGTAATTCTGACACTTAAGCTGCTCCCAGCTACTTGGGAGAGTGCTAAGAAAGGAGATAAATGCAGTTCTTGGCCTAAGAGGTAGTTTGTTAACAGCTCAGAGGCCAGAAATGATGTGCTGAATATTCAAAGAGGGATTGAGATGGATTTGTGTTTGGTTTTTTTTAACTCACCAATAAAACACCACCAACCCAGCACTCCAGGCACACCTGACAAACTCTAAAAGCACAAAGAAATATGGATGTACCTGTTACCCTCAGGATGAATTGTGATAATCCTGATGGCAAGATAAACATCACGAGAAAGGATGAACATTCCCACAAATCCTGCGTTTGTGACTCTGCCTGCTCCACTTTACCCAACAGCTCTGTCCCTTCAGACAGGGGAAAATGGATGAGTCCCACAGTCTATCAGGGCCACAGACATCTCCTAAGCTAGAAACAATTCTTCTCTCTCTACTGTTTTCACTGGCAATGATTCACTTCTCCGTGCAAAGCCAGTTGTGAAGTTGTTCCTGGTTTGTTTTCTGCTGTGTGATTTTGGGGTCTTTAACAAAAAGCATACAAATCATCTCTCCTTCTTGCAGCAGGGCATGTTTTTCTTTCAAAGCTGGCTCCCTCAGGCTGTGGCTGCTGAGTGCTGGCTTCCCAGATGGATTTTGGATAGCCTGACACGTGTCTCTTGGCATCTGTGGTCACAGCATGGCCTGGCGCTGGCAGCGGAACGCGCCCAAAACCAGCCGAGTGTTGGCACAACAAATGAAGAACTGCGGCGTTTCTCCTGCTGCTTCCCCTCAGACAGGGCTGGGGGCTAAAGGAAATGGAAAGCAGGGAGGGGCACTTGGGTTCGTGGTGCAATCATTTTTAGTAATGTCCCGCCCAGCAACAGAAGGAAAACACCTGAAGCTGTGGGGCTGAATTTGCGAGGTTGTTTTGATGTGTAAAGACACAGCGGTGGTGCCTCAGGGAGGTTTTTCTAAGGAGTCTGTGTCCACCTGGACCACAAGATCTCTGGAATCCTGGCACACAATCTGCCTCAAAAGTTGGTTTACCTTGATCATGTTGACAATTGCAATAGCTTTAATTGTTGGCCTGCAAAGCACGAAATAGTTGCTATTCTCAGCTTGCAGTGCCACTCTTGTTGCAAGCCGCGTTAAAAAAGGACTGGGCAGCCCCATGTTCTTATAAGTAGCTGAAGTGAGGCTGTGGGTTGATCCAGAGAGGAGAAAGCCTCTGGGTGACTGTGGGCTTTTCTCAGCAGCCACTCATTTACATGCAGTAGGAAAAACAAACAGATGTCGAAGCCGACAGAGGAGAGGCAGAGCGGAAATTCTCCCAGGATGCTCAAAGTGATATTCAAATATGATATGGAGGAATTACTGAGCAAGAAAACCCACTGCCAAGGCTTAAATAAACCTCAGGAGGAGACCCTAGAAATGATAATGAATTCTCAAATAATGGCACCGGCGGAGCCTTCTGGTTTTAAGTCCCCAGGGTGGATGCCAACTTCCCACCTGTGCCGTGGAGAAAACAAGGGATGATCAGCCTTGTGGTGAGGCAGCACTTTGGCTGCAGAGAGCGGCACTGACAAGGCCTTGCTCTCCCCTTGCAGGGTCTCCTTACAGAGACAAGATCACCATCGCCATCCTCCAGCTGCAGGAGGAGGGGAAGCTGCACATGATGAAGGAGAAGTGGTGGAGAGGCAACGGGTGCCCCGAGGAGGACAGCAAAGAAGCCAGTGCCCTCGGGGTGGAGAATATCGGGGGCATCTTCATCGTGCTGGCTGCAGGGCTGGTTCTGTCAGTGTTTGTGGCCATCGGGGAGTTCATCTACAAATCGAGGAAGAACAGCGACATCGAGCAGGTGGGTCAGGCCCTGCCAGCATCCTCCCAGCTCCTGGGGGGATGAATTTTGGGAATGGAAGGGTAACTGTGATGTAGTTCTCTTTGCTGGAGTGTAGGCTGTGTGTTGCTGAACTCTCAGCAGGCATTTCTGGCTCTAAAAACAAATAATTTATTAATAAGAACAGGGAAGGGCTTCACCCACAGTCCAATTAGTGCTGCTTAGTAGGGCAGTGCAAAACAAGGGCAATATATTTCTCAAACAGTTTCTGCTTGATCTTTAAGACTTCAAGCATAGATTGCATTGGAAAGGAAGGAAACACAACTGGGGTTTTGGTTTTTCTGTTTTTGTTTGGTGTTTTTTTGTGGTTTGTTTTTTCTTTTTTTTTCTTTTTTTTTTTCTTGGTTTGTGTTTTGTTTTGTTTTGTTTTGTTTCTTAGGGGTGTTGTTTGATTTGTTTTGTTTTGTTTTTTTTTTATTATTTTTGGTAGTTTTTAGGGGGGTTGTTTGGGTTTGTTTTGTTTTGTTTATTGTTTTTTTTTTAGTTTGGTTTTTTAACATGGCATTAACGTCATCCCTATGAGTAACACAGGAATGAATGTCCAAATCCCCAAGTGTGATTTTCCTCTCGCTCTAGAGAGCAATTTTTTTCAGAGTCAGGGGTTTACACTCTGTGCTGAAGGATGCACTTCAGAGCATTCAGGAGAACTCCTGAAAGGTGATGAATGCCACTGTAAAAGCAGATTATGGAGCCAAAGAAATTCTGGTTATAGCTCCACTGAAGTGTAATGAGCAATTTGAAAGGGCAGAGGGAAAACAAAGGAAATGCTGTGTATAAATCATGCCTTGAGCATTCCAGCAGTTTGTGAGAAAGAATCAATCATTAAAATCGAGTATAAACACCCATTTACTGACCCACCAGCCACTGCAAACAAAGCAAGGCTGAGCAGGGAAGCTGCCAACCCTCTTGCTCTGGCTGCCTGCCCTGGGGCTGTTTGCCCTGGTCATGTCCTGGACCCTGATGTGACCCTCCTGTAGATGCCCTGATCCTCTTCCCTTCAGCAGGATTTGCCGTAGGGACAATGCTCCCTCCACACTGAAGGGTTGGTGGGTGGCCCTGACGATCAGGGTGGCCCCTGAATCACCAAGAGGTTCTTATCTCCTCGCTTCAGACTTCTGAGACAGGATCCCTCTCCTTCCAAGAGAGTTTTTTAAGCTCGTTCTGCACTTTGAGATGCAAATACTGGTCCAAGGTGTGACCCTGCAAGGCTGATGAGTGCCTAGAGATGACTGTTGACACAAATGCCCTTAACAAAGGCAGCAGGGGTGACTGGGAGGAGAAGGAGAACATTCTGATCTCGCTCTGGGAGGTGCATTTTAAGCCTTGTACAGCAGTCGGGGGTGGGACACGGGAGGGACTGACACCTGAGTGACCAAGCAGCCAGGGCTGAGGGCCTGGAGATGATAACACCTGATTTTTGGATGGGATAAACCACCTGCAGGTCCTTGCTGCCAGGAAGAGAATGCCACAAACCAAGGCCACACATCTGCTGAAGGGAAAGGAGTTGGTTCCCTACCAGGCATCTTCATTTCCCCAGCAGTGCTCTTTTGGGTCCATGACCCCTAATGCCCCGTCAGTGGGCTTAGTCCTCTCAATATTCTGCCATGCAGGAGCATCCCCAAGTCTACCTGAGCGAGCCCTCACTAAAAACAATGTCCAGGAACAGACACAGCTCATGTGGAGCCATCTCACGTCATATAAATCAAAGTGTCCCTGTTTTGGAACAAATCAGAGACAAAGGATTAATGTATTTGCACATATTGCAGCTTTCCGAGTGGTACTTTAACCCCTTTCGGCACAAAATGCATAAAGAATGTGTTGATATCTTTGTTTCATTCATGTCTCAGGAGATCTTCTATTCAAATACATTTTAAAGAACAATTGCAGCTAATTAAGATGTTTGGTATAAATGCTAATAGAATATCCTGGAAACTTTTCATGAGTCTGCGAAAGGCAATGCATTCCTGAAGCCGTGACTAAAGCAGACCTGGAGATTCAAATCAGGAGGGAGTGTTCCTTTACTGAGCAGTATTTTAGGTGATTATCACAGCATTCAGGGTTCCATAGATGTGTGTACATACATCCTTTCTGGCACTGCACTGCAAGGTGCTTCTTAATAATTAATACCTTTATATGAGTTAATGTGGTTTCTTTAGCAAAAGCAACTTTACAGAGCGTGAAAAAAACCAACGATTTTGGTGTCACCTCCTAATTTCTCTCAGATAGTTTTCCTTTCCATCGGGTGGAATAAGAAGCTTAGGTGGGAAATGCTGTACTGTTCACCCTGAGCTAATCCAAAGCACCGAATGCAACCTGTGCCTTTTCTGTTTCCATAACTAGAGCCTCTTTTGGTTTAAATAGATCTTTTGGAGTCTCATTCTCATGTTTGCTTTCGATTTTACCTCCTTTGGTTTGTTTATTTATTTTCTCCATTTTTTTTTTTCTTTTCTTGCATGCGAAGGCCTTTTGTTTCTTTTACGGACTGCAGTGTAAGCAAACCCACCCGTCCAACTCCACCTCTGGCACCACCTTATCTACGGATTTAGACTGTGGCAAGTTAATCCGAGACGAGCGAGGGATTCGGACACAGCCCTCCATTCACACTGTGTAGTCAGGAGAGGAAAAACAAACCCAAACAAACACCAAAAAAAAGGTGTGTCCCGTGGAAAAACAAACAAACGAACAAACAAACAAAAAAAAAACCCACATGAAATTCGAAACAGCTGGCACAAAAATGGCAAAGGTTGTACCCACCAGCACAGCTCCAAAGTGTTGTCCTGCTTCGGCAGGAGCCCCTGAAATCTGGGCAGTTTAAATGCACATCACAGAAAATAATCACCCCAAGGGGGAGCGTGGTAGACTGGAGTAGATTTTAGGAATTGTCACATCCTCTTATGTGCAGTTGTCACCTCGCCATTCCGTGGGGTGGTTCACCTCTCTCAGGTAAGAAAAATTATTTTGCCTCCTTTTCATCTCCTCCCCGACCCGAGTGAAACAATAAAAGCCTCATTACTAAAAGCATGGAGAAACATTTAGCTTGGTCTCTCTGCTGAAGCATTCAGCAAGTGGGCCAGGCAGCTCTTTATAAACCTCCAAAAAACAACCTGCAGGGCTCCATTAACTTTCTGAACCCCTCTTACAAGCAGCCAGAGATTTTTAGCTGGCACATCTTATTCCCAGTGTCAATATTTAATGAATTTTAATTCATCCATTTAAAATTCATTAGTCAAAGCCTCCAAGTAACTATCACGCCACAAAAATCATATCTATCAGTTAAATTTTATGCCGTGTAACCATTAAGAACATGTTCAACAGGAGCACCCTCAGGCAACGCCCGGATATACCATTAAGAGGATAAATCCATTGTCTTGCTTGAGCAATTCATGATGTTCACTCTAAGGTTTTGTAACATAGAAAACTCCTTTGTGGAAAAAAAAAAATCGGGATATCAGTTTATATCAAGCAGTAAAGCTTTGCATATTGAAACACTTGTGGAATTTTTTGTGTGGCACGTTGACAACTGGGTGGTTTTTATACCCTGGAAGGATAACAGTTGGATTTTTTCTAGTCCTCAGCCAGCTGGGGGGACTGACAGGGCAGGAGACAATGGCCTCCATCTGTTTTTGCCACCAAAAAAACATATGACAACAACCTGAGGTACACAAAGTGTACAGAAATGCCAGCTCTAGAATGTCCTGAACTGTGACGAACCTGTGCTCTCAAAACCTGATTACTTTTTTATGTATCCCAGGTTACCACCAGCTTCACCAATTCATCTCCCTCCCCTCGCACCCACTTCAGGTTTCCTTGCCCAATGAAGTTCCTGCTCATCACACAGCTTAATGACCTGTTTTATTGGGGGCCATTTCTGCACTTCTCTGCAATTAGAGAACTTGTTCCAGTGGGTGCCTTCACACCCAGCCTTGCTGAGGTGCTGCAGCAAAGCTCTGCTCTCCTCTTCAGTTGTTCCTCTCGTGCCTGGCTCCTGGGAAAAGCCAGAGCACGGAGGGAGCTGCCTTTTCCTTCCATTCCTGTTGCAGTTTTTGATCAGCAATCCTTGTGCTGCCAGCAGGCTGCAGGTTTTTTCTTTTTTTTTTTTGTGGCTGTACCAATTCTCCTCTGCTCATCCGTGGATGTGAGTGTTTCTGCTCCTCTCCAGATGCTGCAAGAAATTGTCTTTGCTCAAAATGGCCTTTCAGCTTGTTTGAATAGGGCCTTGAAAGCTTTGGTTCTTCATAAAATGCTCCTTCTCACCAGCAAAGACCTGAATTAGATGTTCTGTATATCTGATTTAAGAGAGCACTTTTTATTTGCAGCTTCCCAGTAGAAGAGACTTAAAACTAATTGAATTCAGCTCCTCTCAAGTCTCAGAGGAGGAGGGAAATGCCTAATGTGTTTATCTCCATCATAGCTCTACTCAGGAAATCCTCTGGGTTGCAGCTTCAACCAGTTTTTCTAATTGTTTCTCAGATTAATGAAGAATCCAGAGAATTTCTGTCACTTTTTGGGTAAACAGTTTCTCATCTGTCAAGGAAACAGTCCCACTCTTAGTAACACCCATCCTTTCCCTGTGTTCAGCTTTTCCCACTGTTAGTAACATCCATCCTGTGTCCCCTGGGACAACTCCTGCAGAGACACCACAGGCTTCAAGATCTCCCTGGATCAAAGCCCCTGAAGCTTCACATCTGTAGCTCTTTGGGGAAAAAAAAAAAAAAAAAAAAGCAGGAGGAGAAGGGGCAGAAGGAAGACATCCCCTGGCTCAGTGAGCTTCCTGCAAAATTAGGATTTTTTGTGGAGTTGTCAGGTGTGCAAATTCCCTCTCTTCAGTGAACATCAGCTCCAGCATCTTTGTTTTCAGGTTTAGCTCCAGCACCTCTATTTTCAGGTTTGATCCTTGTGTGGGCCATTCACTCAAGGGCTGGATCTAGTGATCCTTGTGTGTCGCTTCCAAATCAGAATATTCTGTGAAATATTGGGGAAATTTCCCATGGAACTCCCTTCCAAGCACGGCTGTGGCTTCACTGGGAAGTCTCATTTGTGTTTAGAAGGTTTTGGAGACCAGCAAGTAGCTTTAGTGATTTTTTTTTTTCAATGGCAGAGAGGACGCAGAGGACCAGTTTCTATAAACTGAGGAAGACTTAAATCAACCCCTGGATTATTATCATATTGTTTTGGCAATCTCTGCTTGGTAGACTCTGCCAGGTTAAAAGTTAATTTGGTGATCTCCTCATGCAATTAGCCATCAGTGACAGATTACCCACACGGATTCTTAATGTGCTGCCACAGCAGTTTGCTCACTTGGAGAAACTATTATGGATACTCTTCCCATGGTGCACTAGGCACAAATAAATCACTTTTTTCACAGCAGAAGACACGTCAGTGTCCCAGCTCTGGGTCCTTCACGGCAACGAGGGCACTGCAGAAAGAAAATCCTGACTTGCACTTCCTCCTCTCTCCCTCAGCTGCTCAGAAGTTCTCCCACAACAAAACCTGGCCCACATCCTTGGATTTTCACAGTCCTCAGTTCTTCAGCATAATACACCGGGCTTGGGGTGCTTTTTTTTTTTTTTTTTAA